AGAGAGAGACACAGAGAGACACACAGAGAGAGAGACAGAGAGACACAGAGAGACACATAGAGACACAGACAGAGACAGAGAGACACAGAGAGACAGAGAGAGACAGAGAGACACAGAGAGAGAGACACAGAGAGAGACACAGAGAGACACAGAGAGAGAGAGAGAGAGACACAGAGAGAGACACAGAGAGCGACACAGAGAGACAGAGAGAGACACAGAGAGAGGCACAGAGAGACACAGAGAGAGACACAGAGAGAGACACAGAGAGACAGAGAGAGGCATAGAGAGACAGAGAGAGGCACAGAGAGAGACAGAGAGACACAGAGGAGACACAGAGAGACAGAGAGAGGCATAGAGAGACAGAGAGAGACACAGAGAGAGACAGAGAGAGACACAGAGAGACAGAGAGAGGCACAGAGAGAGACAGAGAGTAGACACAGAGAGAGACACAGAGAGACAGAGAGAGGCATAGAGAGACAGAGAGAGGCACAGAGAGAGACACAGAGAGGCACAGAGAGAGACACAGAGAGAGACACAGAGAGAGACACAGAGAGAGACACAGAGAGACACAGAGAGACAGAGAGAGGCACAGAGAGACAGAGAGAGGCACAGAGAGAGACACAGAGAGGCACAGAGAGAGACACAGAGAGACAGAGAGAGGCACAGAGAGACACAGTGAGAGAGACACAGAGAGACACAGAGAGAGAGACACAGAGAGACACAGAGAGAGAGACAGAGAGAGACACAGAGAGGCACAGAGAGAGACACAGTAGAGACAGAGAGAGGCACAGAGAGACACAGAGAGAGACACAGAGAGACACAGACAGAGAGACAGAGAGAGACACAGAGAGACAGAGAGAGGCACAGAGAGACACAGAGAGAGACACAGAGAGACACAGACAGAGAGAGACACAGAGAGACACAGAGAGAGACACAGAGAGGACAGAGAGAGGCACAGAGACACAGAGAGAGAGACAGAGAGAGACACAGAGAGGCACAGAGAGAGACACAGAGAGACAGAGAGAGGCACAGAGAGACACAGAGAGAGACACAGAGAGACACAGACAGAGAGACAGAGAGAGACACAGAGAGACAGAGAGAGGCACAGAGAGACACAGAGAGAGACACAGAGAGACACAGACAGAGAGAGACACAGAGAGACACAGAGAGAGACACAGAGAGACAGAGAGAGGCACAGAGACACAGAGAGAGAGACAGAGAGAGACACAGAGAGGCACAGAGGAGACACAGAGAGACAGAGAGAGGCACAGAGAGACACAGAGAGAGACACAGAGAGACACAGACAGAGAGACAGAGAGAGACACAGAGAGACAGAGAGAGGCACAGAGAGACACAGAGAGACACAGACAGAGAGAGACACAGAGAGACACAGAGAGAGACACAGAGAGACAGAGAGAGGCACAGAGACACAGAGAGAGAGACAGAGAGAGACACAGAGAGGCACAGAGAGAGACACAGAGAGACAGAGAGAGGCACAGAGAGACACAGAGAGAGACACAGAGACACAGACAGAGAGACAGAGAGAGACACAGAGAGACAGAGAGAGACACAGAGAGACACAGAGAGAGACACAGAGAGACACAGACAGAGAGAGACACAGAGAGACACAGTGAGAGAGACACAGAGAGACAGAGAGAGGCACAGAGACACAGAGAGAGAGACAGAGAGAGACACAGAGAGGCACAGAGAGAGACACAGAGAGACAGAGAGAGGCACAGAGAGACACAGAGAGAGACACAGAGAGACACAGACAGAGAGACAGAGAGAGACACAGAGAGACAGAGAGAGGCACAGAGAGACACAGAGAGAGACACAGAGAGACACAGACAGAGAGAGACACAGAGAGACACAGAGAGAGACACAGAGAGACAGAGAGAGGCACAGAGACACAGAGAGAGAGACAGAGAGAGACACAGAGAGGCACACAGAGAGACAGAGAGAGGCACAGAGAGACACAGAGAGAGACACAGAGAGACACAGACAGAGAGACAGAGAGAGACACAGAGAGACAGAGAGAGACACAGAGAGAGAGACATAGAAAGAGAGACAGAGAGAGACACAGAGAGACAGAGAGAGACACAGAGAGAGACACACACACACAGACACACACACACACAGAGAGAGACACAGAGAGAGACACACACACACAGAGACACACACACACAGAGAGAGACACAGAGAGAGACACACACACACAGAGACACACACACACAGAGAGAGACACAGAGAGAGACACACACACACAGAGACACACACACACAGAGAGAGACACAGAGAGAGACACACACACACAGAGACACACACACACACAGAGAGACACAGAGAGAGACACACACACACAGAGACACACACACACAGAGAGAGACACAGAGAGGAGACACACACACACAGAGACACACACACACAGAGAGAGACACAGAGAGAGACACACACACACAGAGGACACACACACACAGAGAGAGACACAGAGAGAGACACACACACACAGAGACACACACACACAGAGAGAGACAGAGAGAGACACACACACACAGAGACACACACACACACAGAGAGACACAGAGAGAGACACACACACACAGAGACACACACACACAGAGAGAGACACAGAGAGAGACACACACACACAGAGACACACACACACACAGAGACACACACACACAGAGACACACACAGAGAGAGAGACACACAGAGACGCACACACACAGAGAGAGACACAGAGAGAGACACACACACACAGAGACACACACACACAGAGAGAGACACAGAGAGAGACACACACACACAGAGACACACACACAGAGAGAGACACAGAGAGAGACACACACACACAGAGACACACACACACACAGAGAGACACAGAGAGAGACACACACACACAGAGACACACACACACAGAGAGAGACACAGAGAGAGACACACACACACAGAGACACACACACACACAGAGACACACACACACAGAGACACACACAGAGAGAGAGACACACAGAGACGCACACACACAGAGAGAGACACAGAGAGAGACACACACACACAGAGACACACACACACAGAGAGAGACACAGAGAGAGACACACACACACAGAGACACACACACACAGAGAGAGACACAGAGAGAGACACACACACAGAGACACACACACACACAGAGAGACACAGAGAGAGACACACACACACAGAGACACACACACACAGAGAGAGACACAGAGAGAGACACACACACACAGAGACACACACACACACAGAGACACACACACACAGAGACACACACAGAGAGAGAGACACACAGAGACGCACACACACAGAGAGAGACACAGAGAGAGACACACACACACAGAGACACACACACACAGAGAGAGACACAGAGAGAGACACACACACACAGAGACACACACACACAGAGAGAGAGACACAGAGAGAGACACACACACAGAGACACACACACAGAGAGACACAGAGAGAGACACACACACACAGAGACACACACACACAGAGAGAGACACAGAGAGAGACACACACACACAGAGACACACACACACACAGAGACACACACACACAGAGACACACACAGAGAGAGAGACACACAGAGACGCACACACACAGAGAGAGACACAGAGAGAGACACACACACACAGAGACACACACACACACAGAGAGACACAGAGAGAGACACACACACACAGAGACACACACACACAGAGAGAGACACAGAGAGAGACACACACACACAGAGACACACACACACACAGAGAGACACAGAGAGAGACACACACACACAGAGACACACACACACAGAGAGAGACACAGAGAGAGACACACACACACACAGAGACACACACACACACAGAGACACACACACACACAGAGACACACACAGAGAGAGAGACACACACACACAGAGACGCACACACACAGAGAGCGCGAGTTCGTGTGGCGCTGCTGTTAATCCTCCGTTGAAGGAGCGCAGACGACTGCAGCGAAACATTCACGACCTGGCACCGAGTGTGGGTTGCATGGCCACAGCGGCCACTGCCGTGGCTTGTGTCAATGTGTCATTGTGTCATTGTGTGGGTCGTGGCTTGTATCATTGTGTGGCTTGTGTCATTGTGTGGGTCGTGGCTTGTATCATTGTGTGGCTTGTGTCATTGTGTGGGTCGTGGCTTGTATCATTGTGTCATTGTGTGGCTTGTATCATTGTGGCTTGTGTCATTGTGTGGGTCGTGGCTTGTGTCATTGTGTGGCTTGTGTCATTGTGTGGGCCGTGGCTTGTATCAGTGTGTCATTGTGTCATTGTGTGGGTCGTGGCTTGTGTCATTGTGTGGCTTGTATCATTGTGTGGCTTGTATCATTGTGTCATTGTGTCATTGTGTGGGTCGTGGCTTGTATCATTGTGTGGCTTGTATTATTGTGTGGCTTGTGTCATTGTGTCATTGTGTGGGTCGTGGCTTGTGTCATTGTGTGGGTCGTGTCTTGTGTCTTGTCATTGTGTGGGTAGTGGCTTGTGTCATTGTGTGGGTAGTGGCTTGTGTCATTGTGTCATTGTGTGTCTTGTGTCTTGTGTTATTGTGTGGGTCGTGGCTTGTGTCATTGTTTGAATCTCTCGCTCGCTCGCTCTCTCGCCACGGATGATGAATTGGAGGCGCTGGGGGGGGGGGTGTGATTACGCAATCAACGCGCCCGGCCCAATTGGTGTGGGGACTCGACGCGTGCGGTGCCTCCTATCAGCGGCTGCCAGCCGGGGCCCCCTCCGCGAGCCGGTGTGGCCGGATCCTGGTGGCTTGGGGTGGGGGGGTGTAACACCAACAACAACAACACCAACACCACCAACACTAACACCACCAACACCACCACCACGGGCATTGCGAGCGCCCGAGCGATCCGGTGAGCAGTGGCCAGCACCGCCCCGGCCAGCCACGCGCGCTCACCACGTGGTGAGCACCACGTGGATGTATTTATAGGGGGCCTCCTGGCTGCCTCGTGGCGCACAGAGAGCTCGAGAGAGGGAGGGAGAGGGACATCTCCAGGGTGAGACCGCCGCTTGCCTCCACGGTCCGCACCACCACCACCACCACCCTCCCCACGGGCCGCTACTCCCCTGCGCCGTCGAAGGTAACGACGCGTCCACACACGCACACAACCACCAATACATCCACACACAACCACCCACACACACAACCATCCACACACACACAACCACCCACACACACACAACCACCCACACACACACAACCACCCACACACACACAACCACCCACACACACACAACCACCCACACACACAACCACCCACACACACACACAACCACCCACACACACACACAACCACCCACACACACACACAACCACCAACCCACACACACACAACCACACACACACACAACCACCAATACATCCACACACAACCACCCACACACACACATCCACACACACACACAACCAACCACACACACACAACCACCCACACACACACAACCACCCACACACACACACAACCACCCACACACACAACCACCCACACACACACACAACCACCCACACACACACAACCACCAACCCACACACACACAACCACACACACACACAACCACCAATACATCCACACACAACCACCCACACACATACAACCACCCACACACACACATCCACACACACACACAACCAACCACACACACACAACCACCCACACACACACAACCACCCACACACACACATCCACACACACACACAACCACCCACACACACACAACCACCCACACACACACATCCACACACACACACATCCACACACAACCACCCACCCACACACACACACAACCACACACACACACACAACCACCCACACACACCATCCCTCCCGCGTGTTTGTGAGAGTTTAGGCCCCTTTGCCAGAGATGGATGGATCGCGTGTCCTCTGCGCTGCTGGTGGTGGTGGTACTGGTGGTGGGAAAGGTCCTGGCAAGGATTATTCAACATCGCCTTGCTAGGCACGCTGAGGAGAGGCTTGCGGAGCCCCAATGCAGTTTTAGGAAAGGGCGGTCTTGCACAGATGCCATATTTTCTGTCCGTCTGCTACAGCAGAGGTGTAAGGAATTCCAACAAGACCTACATCTCTACTTTATTGACCTGGTCAAGGCCTATGATACCATCAGTAGGCCTGGGCTCTGGGTTGTTCTTCATGCTTTCAGAGTCCCTGACCCTCCGCTCACGATCGTTAAGGACCTTCATGATGGTGAGCGGGCCCGGGTAAAACTACGTGGCTGGGAGTCAGAGCCATTCCCTGTACACCTTGGGGTGCGACAGGGATATCCTCTGGCTCCCACATTATTTAACATCTATTTTGACCACGTAGTTCGAAGCCTTCAATAGCTGTACCGGGGGAATATCCATTTGGTACAGATATAATGGGAGGCTGATCGATGCCCAGGTGCGGTCAAGGGATGGCTCCCTATTGGCCAACCACGTTATGTATGCCGATGATTTGGTAATTGCTGCTCATTCAGAGGAGGAGTTAGATACGCTTCTGCTGAAACTGGAGTGTGCCACTAGGAGGTGGGGCCTTACTATCAGCCCGACCAAAACTAAGCACCTGCCAGGGTATTTTGTACCATCGGACACTCCACCCCCACAACTCCCAATCGGTGATGGGGCAGTTGTGGAGAGAGTGGAGAGTTTCCCATACCTGGGCAGTGTGCTCATGACCGGCTCCGATTTGGCAGTGGAGGTCTCACTCCGAATCAGTCGAGCGGCAATATATTTTCATTGGTTGCGTAACGCTGTGTGGAAGCTGCCTGGTCTGTTGCTCCGCATGAAGCTTCAGGTCTTCTCGGCCACAGTCATTCCTTCCCTTCTCTACGCTTGTGAAACGTGGACCCCCCCTAATGGAGCATCTTCGCCGGTTAGAAACATTTAGGCTGGCCTGCCTACGATCCATCTTGGGATTAACCAGGCTGGATTGTGTGAGGAGCTCACAAATCCTTGAAAGATCTGGGAAAAGTCCCATCGGTGAGCTCCTCCGGCAGGCAAGGCTGCGTTGGCTGGGTCATGTAGCCCGCATGCCCAGCCACCGCATGCCTAAACAGCTTTTGTTCGGCCGGATCGAGGGGGCTAAACGGGCGCAGCCACGGACTAGAGAAGAGATGAAGTGATGTGGTACAGGAGAACGTGGAGCTGAGTGGACTTGCCAATGACTGGTACCAGCGGTGTCAAGATCGGCCTCAGTGGAGGAGGCTTGTGTAGGACGCTACTGGGCAGTTGGAGGCAGTCGCCCTCCAACAACAACGGAGGGCGGAGGAGCGACGCTTACAACAACGAGCGGAGCGCCGGGTGGCTAAAGCACAGCAAGTTGGCACAGTAGGGGGCACAGGTGGTGCATCAGCCAGTCATCTCGGTCAGTCGACCCGTGGCACCTGGGTCTGCTCCGTGACCTGCCAGCGGGCGTTCCACACTTCACGTGGCCTCAAGGTGCACTTGGCCTGGCACAAGCGTCGTGGTGACGTCACTGCCACTTAGTGGCGAATGGCGGGTGCTGGTGGTGCTGGTGGTGCTGCTGCTGGTGGTGCTGCTGCTGGTGGTGCTGGTGGTGCTGGTGGTGCTGCTGGTGCTGGTGCTGCTGGTGCTGGTGCTGGTGGTGCTGGTGCTGGTGGTGCTGGTGGTGCTGGTGCTGGTGCTGGTGGTGCTGGTGCTGGTGGTGCTGCTGCTGGTGGTGCTGGTGGTGGTGCTGGTGGTGCTGGTGCTGGTGGTGCTGGTGCTGGTGGTGCTGGTGGTGCTGGTGCTGGTGGTGCTGCTGGTGCTGGTGGTGCTGCTGGTGCTGGTGGTGCTGGTGATGCTGCTGGTGGTGGTGCTGGTGGTGGTGCTGCTGGTGGTGCTGCTGGTGGTGCTGCTGGTGCTGCTGCTGCTGGTGGTGCTGCTGGTGCTGGTGATGCTGCTGCTGCTGCTGGTGCTGGTGGTGCTGCTGGTGGTGCTGCTGCTGGTGGTGGTGGTGGTGCTGCTGCTGGTGGTGCTGCTGGTGCTGCTGTCTCTCTCTGTGTGTCTCTCTGCCTCTCTCTGTGTCTCTCTCTGTGCATCTCTCTCTGTCTCTCTCTGCGTCTCTCTGTGTCTCTCTCTGTGTGCCTCTCTCTCTCTCTCTGTGCGTCTCCACGGACACCCAGGGGAGCTGCACGAGGCCTCGGTTCAATCCCTCGCAGCGGCTGACATGGGGGGGGGAGGGGGGGTGGACAAGTGGTGTTTGAATAAGTCGAGGGGGCTCCTTTTAGGTTAGCTCCGACTTAAATGTGTATCGGGGTGCGGTGCGGGTAAATATCAGTGCGGGAGAGACAAAGGTGGCCGGGCCGTGGTCCTTGGCCAAACGGCCCCCTTGTGCACCGTGCCGAACCTTAATAGGTGCTCGCTAACAGCCCTCGCCCCCAGCAAGCTGCGTCAGGCCCCAAGGGGCATCGTCGTCCTTTGCAGACGTGCGACCAAGTCGCCTCTCGCACTCAACTCGCAACATTCGTACCCAGACAGCCCCCCAGGTCTCTCTCCGCCTCCCTCTCGGTTGTCGTCTTCGACATTTGCTTTGTGTGGCCGCGAGTGACGGCGATTCGGCCGCACGTTTTATCTCAAAGATGATGCGTAATCTTAATTTAAAGCTTTCGTGACTGGAGGAATTCATATTATTTGGGTCTTTCGGTAAAGTCACGTAGATGGGTTCAAAGAAAATAATAAAAAATAACAAAAAAACTCCGTTTCGATCGCAACACAAGCGGTCGTCTTCTTCAGAAGACGAAACGTAGTTTTTGTTATTTTCTTAGAACCTGTCGACGTGACTTTACCGAAAGACCCAAATAAAAGAATGCATCACAATATAACAATAATAACAACATCCCGCCCTGTTGGGCGTTTTGATCCGCGTCGCCCGCCTCCAGCTGGCCGCGTGCTGTGGTGAGAGCGTGGGGAGGTCACGTGGCCGCGTGCTGTGGTGAGAGCGTGGGGAGGTCACGTGGCCAGGTCACGTGGCCGCGTGGTGTGGTGAGAGCGTGGGGAGGTCACGTGGCCGCGTGCTGTGGTGAGAGCGTGGCGAGGTCACGTGGCCATGGTGTGGTGAGAGCGTGGGGAGGTCACGTGGCCATGGTGTGGTGAGAGCGTGGGGAGGTCACGTGGCCATGGTGTGGTGAGAGCGTGGGGAGGTCACGTGGCCATGGTGTGGTGAGAGCGTGGGGAGGTCGTGGCCATGGTGTGGTGAGCGTGGGGAGGTCACGTGGCCATGGTGTGGTGAGAGCGTGGGGAGGTCGTGGCCATGGTGTGGTGAGCGTGGGGAGGTCACGTGGCCGCGAACGAAACGCTTGGAGGTCACGTGGCCGCTAGAGAGACGCAGCGAGGCCGGACCGCGGTCCAAATTTGTGATGATGATCTTTGTTGTTGTTGTCGCGAGGTCGCCTTATAAAGAAATCGACCACCGCCCGCGTCACCCCCCCCCCCTCCCCGTGTCGTTGTGCCGGCGACTTCTTCCCCACGCGGACTCCGCCTGGGCCAGCGGGGTCAGGTGACGCCGTCTGTTTCGTTTGGCCGAAGTGAGAATTCAAGAGACCCCCCCCCCCCCGAGGAGAGTCTCAGGTCGCCTGTTGTACAGCAAACGGCAAATAGCAATCCGTGTCGACAAAACACACACAATCGGTTGTTTTGGGTAAGATCGCGTGAATATTTACGCGATCTAACCTCAAGAAAACCTCTGGATGATATTGGTCGCGAAAGCCTTCGTGTTAAAACAAAACAATTACTCCTTTGTTTAAATCCGAGCACAGACAACCAGACAGACATCGCAGCAGAGACAACCGGATAGACAGCGCACAGCATTCGGTGTTCTATGAGCCTCATTCCGTGCTGCTGCAACGTTGCCGCAACGTCCGTGACTGGTGTTGGGCTGCCGTGGGGTGCACGGCGCGTGTGCTGCGAGCGTCTGATGGTCTCTCCCCCCTCCCCTCGGTGGCTATGCGATTCGTTATCGAGGTGCTGATGGCTTAAAGCGAAACGAGGCCTCGCGTTGCGTACGAGCGAGAAGGCGGAGTGCGGTTTTGCCGAGGCTCGCCACCACCAGGCTCGCCACCACCACCAGACTCACCACCACCACCAGGCTCACCACCACCACGAGTCTCACCACCACCACCACGAGGCTCACCACCACCACCACGAGGCTCACCACCACCACCACCAGGCTCACCACCACGTCTCGTTCTGCTGCTGCCACGAAGGGCGGCGGTTCCCCAGACTCGCACCGCCGCCTTGCCTCGGAGCCCTCAGAGAGCGCCGCTCGTGACGAACGGGGGCAGCACGCGCGCTGAGGACGAAGCGCGTCTCGGAAACCCTGCCGGGCACACACGCACGCTGACACGCTGACACACACGCGCACACTCGCACGCTCACACGCTGACACGCGTGCTCAGTCTCCCGCACACCACGAGGACCCATGTCTGGCACCGCGTAGCGCAATCCGGAGCGCCGTGTGGCCAGGGCGGCGCTCCTCGCTCCGCGTCGCCCACCGCGACGCTCCTCGCCCCAGCCGCGTTCACACGCCGACGAAGGCGCTGCAGCTGCTGCGGCTGCTGCGGCTGCTGCTGCTGCTGCGGCCGTGAAACGCCGCAAGTTTCTTAAACCCCCCCCCCCACCTCACCCCCACGGCCTCTGTCCACCCAGCAGTATCAGTGGGTACGCCACAGTCGGCCAGTGGGCGGGTGGCGCGCGGTGCGGTGAAGTGTGGGTGCTCTCATCTCTTCCAAGGCATCTGCCCGGTATTGAAGAGTGGCCCAAGCCCCCTCTGTCGACAGGGGCTCTCCAAAGCGCCCCCTGCTGGAGGCTGTCGTGCGTACGTCGAACTCCTTTGGCACCGTACGTAGCCGACCATGCTCATCGGAGGTGCAGTGGCGCGAGAGAGACGCCCGTGCCTGCGCCTCGCCTCTCCCACCGGAGTGGTTGCGTGCTTTGTCTGTGCTTGTTGGAGGCCAGATGACGGCTCTAACTGGATCGAGTCCGTCACCCGCAGCCTTTGTTGACTTGGCGCGAGTTTGCCGCATTCCGAATGTCATCGTGGACAGGACGTAACGGATCTATTGGTCGTTATCTTTTGCGCAAACAGTTTCTAACCAAATTAGAGGAGCGGTGAGTCGGTAAAACTTCCTCCGGGTGTCTCCTGCAGATCCACCACTGCCGCCATGCAGGGCTCGCTGTTCCGCAGCGAGGAGATGTGCCTGGCGCAGCTCTACCTGCAGTACGAGTCGGCCTACTGCTGCATCAGCGAGCTGGGGGAGCTGGGCCTTGTGCAGTTCCGAGACGTGAGACTCCCAGCCCCCCCCCCCTCGATGGTTCGCTCGATGGCTCACTCGGTGACTCGGTGGCTCGCTGGCTCGTTGGTCGCTGTGGCTCAAGCGCCCATCACAATTGCCTCCCCCGCTACCCTACCGGTCTGTCCTTCCGTCTGGGCTCCAGGGCATCTCTCCAGAGGCTGCCGGGTCCACAAACGCTCGTGCTCCTGCTTGGAAGCAAAATCGTAATTGATTGCGTCATCACAATGCGGTGTTCTCCGATGGTCATTCTCGTAAACTTGCTTATAAAATATCAAAATAAAACTGTGGAGATCCAAATTGAGCTACTAAAAAGTGTCCATGTGCTCAACTCCTGCGACTCGTTCCGGTGATGGTACCGAACCGTCGCTCGTCCGCCTGGCAACCGCCCTTGCCCTCCCCTCTGTGCGTTGCAGCTCAACGGCCGCGTCAGCGCCTTCCAGCGCAAGTTTGTGAACGAGGTGAAGCGCTGCGAGGAGCTCGAGAGAATCCTGCGTGAGTTCACTGCCGCCACCGCACCACGCTGATGTCACCATGGCGGTTACCGGGTAGAGGAAACGAAGACCCTTGACTTAAAGCGTTCGTGACTGCAGGAATTCAAATTCTTTGGGTCTTTCGGTAAAGTCACAAAGCTAGATTTCAAAGAAAATATTTTCTTTGAACCTATCTACGTGACTTTACCGAAAGATAATTGGTTTTTTACCCTTCTATCTGGCAACAAAACTGACACCTTTTTACAAGGAGTCATGTTTGCATAGACCGCAATACCTGCAGTCATAATACAAACAAAAGAACATAACTCTGATAATGTGCACTGTCCTTGAAGTTGATTGGTCCACACCCGAGACAGCTTTCCTTCGAGCCTAGTCTCACATGGGTTGGACCAGATGACGCCAAAAGGCGCACAACTCAAAGACAATGCACCATCAGAGTATGAGAGCTCGGGGCAAGCATCTACACTATGGGAACCTCATTTGCCAGTAAAAATATGATAATTGGTTTTTTACCCTTCTATCTGGCAACAAAACTGACACCTTTTTACAAGGAGTCATGTTTGCATAGACCGCAATACCTGCAGTCATAATACAAACAAAAGAACATAACTCTGATAATGTGCACTGTCCTTGAAGTTGATTGGTCCACACCCGAGACAGCTTTCCTTCGAGCCTAGTCTCACATGGGTTGGACCAGATGACGCCAAAAGGCGCACAACTCAAAGACAATGCACCATCAGAGTATGAGAGCTCGGGGCAAGCATCTACACTATGGGAACCTCATTTGCCAGTAAAAATATGATAATTGGTTTTTTACCCTTCTATCTGGCAACAAAACTGACACCTTTTTACAAGGAGTCATGTTTGCATAGACCGCAATACCTGCAGTCATAATACAAACAAAAGAACATAACTCTGATAATGTGCACTGTCCTTGAAGTTGATTGGTCCACACCCGAGACAGCTTTCCTTCGAGCCTAGTCTCACATGGGTTGGACCAGATGACGCCAAAAGGCGCACAACTCAAAGACAATGCACCATCAGAGTATGAGAGCTCGGGGCAAGCATCTACACTATGGGAACCTCATTTGCCAGTAAAAATATGATAATTGGTTTTTTACCCTTCTATCTGGCAACAAAACTGACACCTTTTTACAAGGAGTCATGTTTGCATAGACCGCAATACCTGCAGTCATAATACAAACAAAAGAACATAACTCTGATAATGTGCACTGTCCTTGAAGTTGATTGGTCCACACCCGAGACAGCTTTCCGTCGAGCCTAGTCTCACATGGGTTGGACCAGATGACGCCAAAAGGCGCACAACTCAAAGACAATGCACCATCAGAGTATGAGAGCTCGGGGCAAGCATCTACACTATGGGAACCTCATTTGCCAGTAAAAATATGATAATTGGTTTTTTACCCTTCTATCTGGCAACAAAACTGACACCTTTTTACAAGGAGTCATGTTTGCATAGACCGCAATACCTGCAGTCATAATACAAACAAAAGAACATAACTCTGATAATGTGCACTGTCCTTGAAGTTGATTGGTCCACACCCGAGACAGCTTTCCTTCGAGCCTAGTCTCACATGGGTTGGACCAGATGACGCCAAAAGGCGCACAACTCAAAGACAATGCACCATCAGAGTATGAGAGCTCGGGGCAAGCATCTACACTATGGGAACCTCATTTGCCAGTAAAAATATGATAATTGGTTTTTTACCCTTCTATCTGGCAACAAAACTGACACCTTTTTACAAGGAGTCATGTTTGCATAGACCGCAATACCTGCAGTCATAATACAAACAAAAGAACATAACTCTGATAATGTGCACTGTCCTTGAAGTTGATTGGTCCACACCCGAGACAGCTTTCCTTCGAGCCTAGTCTCACATGGGTTGGACCAGGTGACGCCAAAAGGCGCACAACTCAAAGACAATACACCATCAGAGTATGAGAGCTCGGGGCAAGCATCTACACTATGGGAACCTCATTTGCCAGTAAAAATATGATAATTGGTTTTTTACCCTTCTATCTGGCAACAAAACTGACACCTTTTTACAAGGAGTCATGTTTGCATAGACCGCAATACCTGCAGTCATAATACAAACAAAAGAACATAACTCTGATAATGTGCACTGTCCTTGAAGTTGATTGGTCCACACCCGAGACAGCTTTCCTTCGAGCCTAGTCTCACATGGGTTGGACCAGATGACGCCAAAAGGCGCACAACTCAAAGACAATGCACCATCAGAGTATGAGAGCTCGGGGCAAGCATCTACACTATGGGAACCTCATTTGCCAGTAAAAATATGATAATTGGTTTTTTACCCCCATAGTGTAGATCAGGGGTCGGCAACCTACGGCTCCGGAGCCGCATGCGGCTCTTTGCGGGCTGCTTCTTGACGATATGTACATATGTACTCAGATGCATTGCGGCTCTTGAAATACTGAATTTTGTACCGAATTGGAAAGAAATGGCTCTTCTTGTTATTTTGGTTGCCGACCCCTGGTGTAGATGCTTGCCCCGAGCTCTCATACTCTGATGGTGCATTGTCTTTGAGTTGTGCGCCTTTTGGCGTCATCTGGTCCAACCCATGTGAGACTAGGCTCGAAGGAAAGCTGTCTCGGGTGTGGACCAATCAACTTCAAGGACAGTGCACATTATCAGAGTTATGTTCTTTTGTTTGTATTATGACTGCAGGTATTGCGGTCTATGCAAACATGACTCCTTGTAAAAAGGTGTCAGTTTTGTTGCCAGATAGAAGGGTAAAAAACCAATTATCATATTTTTACTGGCAAATGAGGTTCCCATAGTGTAGATGCTTGCCCCGAGCTCTCATACTCTGATGGTGCATTGTCTTTGAGTTGTGCGCTTTTTGGCGTCATCTGGTCCAACCCATGTGAGACTAGGCTCGAAGGAAAGCTGTCTCGGGTGTGGACCAATCAACTTCAAGGACAGTGCACATTATCAGAGTTATGTTCTTTTGTTTGTATTATGACTGCAGGTATTGCGGTCTATGCAAACATGACTCCTTGTAAAAAGGTGTCAGTTTTGTTGCCAGATAGAAGGGTAAAAAACCAATTATCATATTTTTACTGGCAAATGAGGTTCCCATAGTGTAGATGCTTGCCCCGAGCTCTCATACTCTGATGGTGCATTGTCTTTGAGTTGTGCGCCTTTTGGCGTCATCTGGTCCAACCCATGTGAGACTAGGCTCGAAGGAAAGCTGTCTCGGGTGTGGACCAATCAACTTCAAGGACAGTGCACATTATCAGAGTTATGTTCTTTTGTTTGTATTATGACTGCAGGTATTGCGGTCTATGCAAACATGACTCCTTGTAAAAAGGTGTCAGTTTTGTTGCCAGATAGAAGGGTAAAAAACCAATTATCATATTTTTACTGGCAAATGAGGTTCCCATAGTGTAGATGCTTGCCCCGAGCTCTCATACTCTGATGGTGCATTGTCTTTGAGTTGTGCGCCTTTTGGCGTCATCTGGTCCAACCCATGTGAGACTAGGCTCGAAGGAAAGCTGTCTCGGGTGTGGACCAATCAACTTCAAGGACAGTGCACATTATCAGAGTTATGTTCTTTTGTTTGTATTATGACTGCAGGTATTGCGGTCTATGCAAACATGACTCCTTGTAAAAAGGTGTCAGTTTTGTTGCCAGATAGAAGGGTAAAAAACCAATTATCATATTTTTACTGGCAAATGAGGTTCCCATAGTGTAGATGCTTGCCCCGAGCTCTCATACTCTGATGGTGCATTGTCTTTGAGTTGTGCGCCTTTTGGCGTCATCTGGTCCAACCCATGTGAGACTAGGCTCGAAGGAAAGCTGTCTCGGGTGTGGACCAATCAACTTCAAGGACAGTGCACATTATCAGAGTTATGTTCTTTTGTTTGTATTATGACTGCAGGTATTGCGGTCTATGCAAACATGACTCCTTGTAAAAAGGTGTCAGTTTTGTTGCCAGATAGAAGGGTAAAAAACCAATTATCATATTTTTACTGGCAAATGAGGTTCCCATAGTGTAGATGCTTGCCCCGAGCTCTCATACTCTGATGGTGCATTGTCTTTGAGTTGTGCGCCTTTTGGCGTCATCTGGTCCAACCCATGTGAGACTAGGCTCGAAGGAAAGCTGTCTCGGGTGTGGACCAATCAACTTCAAGGACAGTGCACATTATCAGAGTTATGTTCTTTTGTTTGTATTATGACTGCAGGTATTGCGGTCTATGCAAACATGACTCCTTGTAAAAAGGTGTCAGTTTTGTTGCCAGATAGAAGGGTAAAAAACCAATTATCATATTTTTACTGGCAAATGAGGTTCCCATAGTGTAGATGTTTACCGAAAGACCCAAAGAAAACAAAGACCCTTCAAGTAAAATACATTAACGGCGACCGTCACGGCACAATTTTAAATGAGTACCCCAGTTCTTAGTACCTACGTCCACTGGGGAGATGGAGCGATGAAATCCGCTTGTGTGCCGGTCCAGTCAAAATGATTGTTTTGCTCGAGGAGCATGGAGGTGGTGCTGGTAAACTGTCCTCAGGCCCGAGCTGGCGGTGGAAATTCCACATTCCTGTAGCTGGGCGAGGTCATCCGTAGGACAACCCCTGGTGACCTGCCCCACAGAGTGGCGCTGGGTGGATGATTGCGTCGCGAGATCGTAAACGGGCGGCGGCGGCGGCGGATTGTGCAGGCCACCATCCAGCAGCGGGTTGACCCTGGCTGACGATGATGATATTAAGCACGGCTCACTGTAAACCGCAGCAGCGTGTGTGTGTGTGTGTGCGTGTGTGTGTGTGCGCGCATGTGTGTGTGCGTGTGGACCCCCCTAGTGGAGCATCTTCGCCGGTTGGAAACATTTAGGCTGGCCTGCCTACGATCCATCCTGGGTTTAACCAGGCTGGATTGTGTGAGGAGCTCACAAGTCCTTGAAAGATCTGGGCAAAGTCCCATCAGTGAGCTCCTCCGGCAGGCAAGGCTGCGTTGGCTGGGTCATGTAGCCCGCATGCCCAGCCACCGCATGCCTAAACAGCTTTTGTTCGGCCGGATCGAGGGGGCTAAACGGGCGCGGCACGGGCTAGAAAAGAGATGGAGTGATGTGGTACAGGAGGACGTGGAGCTGAGTGGACTTGCCGATGACTGGTACCAGCGGTGTCAAGATCGGCCTCAGTGGAGGAGGCTCGTGAAGGACGCTACTGGGCAGTTGGAGGCAGTCGCCCTCCAACAACAACGGAGGGCGGAGGAGCGACGCTCACAACGAGCGGAGCGCCGGGTGGCTAAAGCACAGCAAGTTGGCACAGTAGGGAGCACAGGTGGCGCATCAGCCAGTCATCTCGGTCATCTCGGTCAGTCGACCCGTGGCACCTGGGTCTGCCCCGTGACCTCCTGCCAGCGGGCGTTTGACACTTCACGTGTCCTCAAGGTGCACATGGCCTGGCACAAGCCTCGTGGTGACGTCACCGCCACTTAGTGGCGAATGGCGGTTGTTGTTGTTGTGTGCGTGTGTCAACACGGGCACGCTGGGTGTGTTGCACTTGGGCAGGAGTAGCGGGGCAGTGTAAATGTGAGGTTGGGGCGCGAGGAAAGGAACGACGCATCCTCGGTGCACGGTCGCCGCAGGGGTCCGCTGGGGGAGGGGGTCGCCTTGGCCGCCCGATGCCGTAGCCCAGTGGCCTTTAGTGCGGCCCCTGATGTACAGCCCCTGACAACTCAACAAGTGAAACACCCCCCCCCCCCCCCATCATCGTCGTCGTGCTGCTGTCAAACCCCCAATGGTTTCAAACGTGTGGAGGCCCTCGCACTGACGATGGCTTATTGCCCGTCGTACCGAGCAGGGCGGCGAGCGGCAGGGAGCGTGGCCCTCGTCGCCAGGCGCGACGTCTCCACGTGCGACGTTTGTGCTCTGACCGTACGTGACAGGCTTCCTGGACAAGCAGATGTCCGCCGCGGGCGTGAAGGCGGTGCCCGATGACCAGGACCAGGAAGCCCCTCTCCCCAAGGTCATGATTGACTTGGAGGTGAGCTTGCACTGCTCAGGCCTGCCGTGGGCCTTGCGCGAGGCCTCGTGATACTCTGTGAGCCCTGGTGGGCGAGTCTCGTGACCACGGTTCGCAACGATTGCGTCTCCCGCTTAAACTGCATCGTTCATCGTCAGGACAAATTGTCGCTTTGTTAAACGCTCGTGCACGTGTCAGTTTAATCTGATCGGCTGTGTCGGGCGGTGGAGGGACTTTGACGACACATATTCGGTCCGGCTCAAAATGTGTCCAAACTCAAAACGCGATGATAAAGCCTAATGTTCACCGACAAAACCCTAACCCTACGGGGTAAACGCCACATCTCCAATGTGTGCGGTGCCGATGGCGATTAAACTATTGCACTCCTACGCTTTGAAGAGCCGCGCAGGTTGTGTGGCGGCACGGGATTTTTAAGGAACGATTGTTTTAACTTGCCGCGGAGAGAAGACACGGCACGGGTTGTCAACAATAGTTTGTACATCGCAGCGCACGCGCACACACACACGCGGACCTTAACGCAACCACGGCTCGCAGTTCTTTTCAATTAGCCCACATTTGGGCCATCAGCTCTCCCTCTCTCTCCCTCTCTCTCTCTCGTTCTCTCTCTCTTCTCCGCCCGGCTTGGCGTTTTCGAGTGAACGCAGCTGCGCAATTTTCTTCAGAGTAAAAGAGGGAAATGAAAGAACGGCGAAAGAAAAGCTTAAAATGACAAACGAGTCCGGGTTTCGCTCTCGAGCAGCTCTTCCTCTTTATTTCTTCTTCTCGCCTTCGTCTGCGGTCGCTGCCGCTCGGAGCGTGGGGTGAGGCGCGCCTGGGGTGAGGCGCGCCTGGGGTGAGCGGTCGAGTGGTAGTACTCATTAAACAATGGGCATCTGTTTTTAGTTCTTTTCTTAAAGCACCAATTCCTTCCTCGCTTCCCCAAACTCCCCTTCTCCATCTCCATCCCGATTCCCAACTCCCCTACCTATTCATCATCACACTCACTCGTCATTAACCACTCATATTCATCACGAACTCCCATCCTTCTCATCGTCCCATCATCCCATCACACTATTCTGCTGTACAAATAGTTCATTCTCTGTTCAGCACCTTGGTCAAGGCGCGTCTTAAATGAAAACAAGATGAGAAGGTAAAAATTTGGCAAATTGTCTAAATTATTCTGCAAATACTTCAATTGTGTCCGTGGGCAAAACAGTTTGCATGTCCCAGCTAAGCGAGAGGCACTCGGCACAGCCTCGCAGCAGCAGCAGCAGCAGCAATACTAGTGATAGGTTGGCGCGCTGCGCCATTGACTCGCCTTCGATTCCCGCTCGCGGCCAACACCACCGATGAATTCATGAACCACTCGCGGTACTCCCCGAGGTTGACTCGTTCTCAGATGAGTATCTACCGCGGTGTGCGTACACCGCGCGGTGTGCGCACACCGTGCGGGTGTGCGCACACCGTGCGGGTGTGCGCACACCGCGCGGTGTGCGCACACCGCGCGGTGTGCGTACACCGCGCTGGCCTCTGTGGGTGCCGTCGCTCGCAAGCGGCACTCGCCCCGTCGGTCCGTGCGGGCTACCTTGGGAGCTTTGCCTTAGGCAAAGCGTGCGCCGCGGTGCCTGGGCGCAGGTGACGTTCGAGCGCCTGGAGACGGAGCTCAAGGAGATCGGCACCAACAAGGTGACGCTGCGCCGGAACTTCCTGGAGCTCACCGAGCTGCGGCACATGCTTCACCACACGGAGCCGTACTTCGCCTCGGTGAGCCGGCAACACTTCCCACGAACTGACCCCGAGGGTGACCCCCACTGACCCCGAGGGTGACCCCCACTGACCCCGAGGGTGACCCCCACTGACCCCGAGGGTGACCCCCACTGACCCCGAGGGTGACCCCCACTGACCCCGAGGGCGACCCCCCCCCCCACTGACCCCGAGCTCTCCCGCCGAGCCACGCGGCCCCGTGAGGTCGGGGGTCAGCGAGCGAGCTCGTGCCGGTGGCCGCTCGATGACCATTGCTGAGCTTGTTTTTATAAGGGACATTTGGGAAGAATGAATCATAATTTAAGTAAAACATTTTTTAGATGCGTGCAATGATAATATCATCATTATTACGTGATGAAAACGACGTCTTTGCAAACTTTCAAAACGGGCAACTTTGTACACAGCCGCGTGGAGGCTCGGTGACCCATTTATAGATACCCCACCACGCTCGTCGGGGAAACTCCTCTGAGAAAACGACGTTGGAATCTGCCACGCTTCTTCCCCACGTTCGCCACCCCTCCCACCGCCTTCCTTCTGCCCCTCCCCTCTGACGACGCTCGATCGCCCCGTTGGGACGGGGACGGGGGTCGTTGGCGGTAGGTGGGGTATCTGTAAACGGATCGCCGCGCGTGTGCCCCCCCACGGGGCTGGACGGCGGTGGACCTCTTGGAAAAAAGAACTTCGGAGCTCGTCGGATTCCTCCAGAGTCACTAATCATGAAGGGGTCACGGTGTGCGCCAGGGGGAGTCCAGGGACTTCCTGTCGGGCGACACGCTGATGCTCATCGACCCGGCCAACGCCAACGCCGCCGCCGCCGCAGCCGCCGCCCCGGGACTCAAACTCGGGTAGGAGGCCCCCGAGAGCCGTCGCTTCCTTCTCTCGGCAAAATCGCTCGTTCGCGTTCAGCGGTGTCGCGCTCGTCGCTCGCGGCCCGTTGCACGGAGTGCCCTGGTGGATGCTGCGGTGCGGCAGGCACCGTGACGTCATCAAACGCCGGCCACTTCTCGGCGGCCGTTGAAGATCCCGAGATGGCATTCCAAGAAGGGTTCAAGGCACCGCTAAGACCGGCGTCACGGCCAAAACAAAACAAGTAAACGCTCCCAAACGACTGTTGGGGATGACGCACAGAGCGGCGATCATCGTCCCCGGCTGTCCGACTCCTGCCCGATTGTAGGTCACGTGCTACATCACCTCGTGCTCAAAGAGACCGCCGCTGCCAGGAGTGCCCTTTTAAACGTGCGATGATATATCGGCTGGAATGATATTTTGACAAATTTGCAATTTGACACCGCCGATGACTCGGTTGGGAAGTGCACGGCCCCTCCTGCGAGCACCTGGAAAGGCCCCTCCTGGACAATAAGTCTCGGGACTGGGTGAAGCTGTCCGGGGTGAATGATCGCTCTCTGCCCAGGGCTCCGTGCTGCTACTGCTGCTGTTCTTAGATCCCAGCTTTCAGTCTCGACGGACGATCTCCTTCCATCGGTCACCGGGCTCATCAAGCGAGGCGTTGGACAGTGTTTTACTTCACGAACTTCCTCGCCTGCATAGCCCCATGGGATAGAAACAACTCGTTAGCAAGGGCGTCCAGGATTAGTCGATCGATCTTTATTTTACGTGCCAATATCGCCCTCAATAAAGTTCGCATCGGTGTACGTTTACAGCAGAACAGGAACGGTGCGGCCACAGCAATGGAGACAGTGACGCATCACACCCTCAGCGGCTCGCACCGACTGAGAGTAAATTGCAACAGCGCGCAAAATAAATAGAGGGTGTCAAAGCGGTGGTGGCTGATGTTGATGTTTTGTGCTGTTGCAGGAATTGTTTTAATAAATAGAACACTGATGGTAGGGGCTAATAATAATTATCATTTACACTTCTAAATAATAATTTACACTTCTTTTTAGTTTGTTATCCTTTTCCCCGCACTTCGGATTAGCTGCGCACGGTGTGAAAGAAGTTCAACATACAAACATCGCGCCTTGCACCCGGAGGCCACAATGCACAGTTGTTGTTTTAATCCATAAATTGCTCCCCACTCTCTGCTCCCCGCTCCCCACTCTCTGCTCCCCGCTCCCCACTCTCTGCTCCCCACTCTCCGCTCTGCTCCCAACCCCCACCAATTCCGGGCCGCAGCTCGGTGGCGGGCGTCATCAACCGCGAGCGGCTGCCGTCGTTTGAGCGAATGCTGTGGCGCGTTTGCCGGGGAAACGTCTTCCTGCGCCACTCGGAGATTGAGCAGGAGCTGGAGGACCCCGTCTCGGTAGGCCTCGCGCGGGCGCCACGGCCCAGCGGCCCCGCGGCCCCGCGGCCCCGCGGCCCCGCCACCCAGCGCCGGCCCCACCGTCCAATGACCCCACGCCCTCACGACCCAGCGGCCCCGCCACCCGGTGCAGGCCCACGGCTCCGCGTGGGCCCAGCGCTGCGCCGCGCTGTGCGCCCGCTCGTCGCTCTTGTGGAAAGTGTCGAGAAGCGTGGGGGGAGACGCGGTGGGGGACACGGGGGTAGAGGTGGTTGGATAGACACGGGGAGAGATGCGGGGGGAGACGCTGGGGGAGACGCAGGGGGAGATGCCGAGCGGCGGGGCGAGCGAGGGGGTGGGACGTGTGATCCGTCCGCCGTGGAGACGGAGTGCAGGAATCGGCTCGTGTGTAGCAGCTACATTCGATTGGCTTGGGGAGGACTTCATCCGGCAGTGGATGGCCCATGGCTGACGACGTTGATGATGTTGGTGATGTTGTGATGGTGATGATGGCGGTGTAATGCTTTTTTATTTTTTATCCTTCAGGGTGACCCTCTCAAGAAAGATGTCTTCATCGTGTTTTTCCAAGGAGATCAGCTGAAGAGCAAGGTCCAGAAGATCTGCGAGGGGTGAGACGTGAGACGGTCCTCCGCATCCACGTGCCACACGCCCACCCACCCACCCACACTCCCACCCACCCACCCACCCACACGCCCACCCACCCACCCACACGCCCACCCACCCACCCACACGCCCACCCACCCACCTACCCACATGTCTGCCCACCTACCCACATGTCTGCCCGCTCGCCCACCCGGGCGCCCGCCCACCCACGCGCCTGCCCACCCACGCGCCCGCCCACCCACCCACCCACCAAAGCGCCCACCCACCCACGCGCCCGCTCACATTCCCGCCCACGCACCCATTCAACCGCCCGCCCACCCACCCATCCAACCGTCCGCTCATCTACCTGTTATCGGTATATTCCGCTGCGTGATGTGCTGCACAGCACAGGTGTCCTCGTGCACCACATTTCTTTATTCCACGGCGCTGAAGAGGCCTTTTTCTCGTCGCGTCTCTTGCCGTCGTGCCGTCCCCTTTCCTTAACACATCTGGCAAAGCGTGGACGAGTTGGCCGACGAACGCTCCGACCGGCAGTGGCCTGAACGAGCATTTGCAGGGCTGCACCTCGGCTCGTGGGATTCTGTCGTGGGATCCAGACGTGCGATCCGGCTCGTGGGCTCCTCCCGTGTGTGATTGGCTGTGGTCTTCACCGCCAGGTTCCGCGCCACCGTCTACCCGTGCCCGGAGTCCCCGAAGGAGCGCAGGGAGACGATGGAGGGCGTGACCACGCGTCTGGAGGACATCCAGACGGTACGCAGCCGGCGCCGCGGCCCGCGCCGCGGCCCGCACCGCGGCCGGCGCCGCTAGTTCCCCGCGCTCCACGACTCCCTTCCACCGCCGCTCCACCAGAGTCGGGCAAATATCCCATAATTCCATTCGAGGTTCATAACAAAACAATCTTTTCGGTGGCTCGGACCCGGGTTTGCTCTGAGCTGGAGGGTGCGCACGTGGCGGCCTAACTACGAAGAGAATTACGCCTGCGGTCGGTACCCAGGCAGAAACACCCTTTGGGCTCGGTCTGCCCAGATAATAGCGGTGTAGGCAGTGCAACCGCACTGGGAGCCAAGGGCCAGAGGGGCCCAGGCGCTGCGCTGAAGGCGGAGAGGGAGGGAGGAGAGGGGCCCAAAGCGAACCAGGGCAACGGCCGGTAGCGTCGGCGCGCCACCGGAGGAGCCCTGGCGACGTCTCCAATGGCGGCCCCTTCGCTCAAACCCGCTCCGGTCGCGTCCCCTCCCTCCCTCCCTCCCGATACCGCCGGCGCTCCGCTCCGCGCGCAGGTGCTGGGCGAGACGGAGGAGCACCAGCGGCGGGTGCTGGCCAACGCGGCGCTCAGCTCGGCCGCCTGGTCCGTCAGGGTGCGCAAGATGAAGGCCATCTACCACGCGCTCAACCTGTGCAACGTGGACGTCACGCAGAAGTGCCTCATCGCCGAGGTGTGGTGCCCCGTGGAGGACATGGACTCCATCCAGCGCGCCCTCCACCGCGGCACGGTGAGCCGCGAGGGTTGCATTCGACGCGGTGCCCCAAGCCGTTTTGTTACCGTTTCCCCCCACCCTTTGCCAACCTGCGCTGACCAGCGTGGTGAAGTATGGTGAAACGGCCCCCAAGCTCGGTATGGTGGGAAGGGGGCGGGGGGGGACTTTATCCATCTTGTAGAATGACAAAGCGATGTAAATGTCACCATCGTGTTTTGCAGTGCGCGAGCGTCGCGACATTCACGTGGCGTTCACCACTTGTGGCGTCCTCCACCTGTAGCGTCCACCACTTGTAGCGTCCACCACTTGTGCCGTGTCCCTCCCTGCAGATCAAGAGCGACTCCACGGTGCCGCCCATCCTCAACCGCACGTTCACCACGCTGCCGCCGCCCACCTTCAACCGCACCAACAAGTTCACGTCGGGCTTCCAGAACATCGTGGACGCCTACGGCGTGGGGAAATACCGTGAGATGAACCCCAGTGAGTAGCACCGCACGGCGTGGGGAAATACCGCGAGATGAACCCCAGTGAGTGGCACGCACGGCGTGGGGAAATACCGCGAGATGAACCCCAGTGAGTGGCACGCACGGCGTGGGGAAATACCGTGAGATGAACCCCAGTGAGTGGCACGCACGGCGTGGGGAAATACCGCGAGATGAACCCCAGTGAGTGGCACCTACGGCGTGGGGAAATACCGTGAGATGAACCCCAGTGAGTGGCACCGCACGGCGTGGGGAAATACCGCGATATGAACCCCAGTGAGTGGCACCGCACGGCGTGGGGAAATACCGCGAGATGAACCCCAGTGAGTGGCACCGCACGGCGTGGGGAGATACCGTGAGATGAACCCCAGTGAGTGGCACCTACGGCGTGGGGAAATACCGTGAGATGAACCCCAGTGAGTAGCACCGCACGGCGTGGGGAAATACCGTGAGATGAACCCCAGTGAGTGGCACCGCACGGCGTGGGGAGATACCGTGAGATGAACACCAGTGAGTGGCCGCACGGCGTGGGGAGATACCGCGAGATGTGGACTCCTCTCCCCTGGCTCATTGACGAGACGGGGCCGCGAGATCGTCAAGTTTGGCCGCCCCCCTCCCCCGCACCTCTTGCGTAGAGATCCACGGCATAGTTTCGGCCTCTGGGTGATTATTTCGGCGCCCAGCGCGCCACATCCAGTACACATCTCCCCCTGTGGCCATGGCAACAAGTCGTGTGCCGCCTCCTGGTCTCCCGGCAACCCCAGATTGTGTCGTGACCCGGCACACCACATCCAGGATGTGTCTCGCTCCGTGGCCGTGGCTACGAGCGGCCTACGACTCTCCTCCGTGCTCCAGTGGCCCGGCATGAATTCGGTGAAGCGCTTTAGGTCAGCTCCTTCCCTCGGCCGTGTCACCCTCGTCCCACAATGCCGAGCGCTGCACTGCGATTGGCCCTCGTTGTTGCCGGCCTGGCTTCGGAACAATTGAACGACGCATGCCGATAACCGCTAGCAATGCACAGGGGGGCCATGGCTTTGGTTGCAACCTACCCATGGGGTTTATCACCATGGGCCACGGTCAATTCACAAGCCTTTGTCTTGTGCGCGTGTGTGTGCGCGTGTGCGCGTGTGCGCGTGTGCGCGTGTGCGCGTGTGTGCGTGTGCACGTGTGTGTGCTGACCGCAGCCCCGTACACGATCGTCACCTTCCCGTTCCTCTTCGCCGTCATGTTCGGCGACTGGGGCCACGGCTTGGTGATGCTCTGCTTCGCCGTGTGGATGGTGCTCAAGGAGAGGGAGCTCCTGGCCAGCAAGAGCGACAACGAGGTGACCACCACCACGACGACCACAGCGCCGCCGCCACTCGCTCCTCCTCTTACAAACGCGCCCTTGTCGATGATGGCGTGGAAGAGCTCCGAGCCGATTAATTCTCATCATAACATTATTTTATTTGTGAAATCATTCCCATCTTGAAATCCTCATTGTGAAATCATTCGCAGCATGAAATAATTTTAATTGTGAAATAATTTCCATCGTGACATCATTCCCATCGTGAAATCATTTTCATTGTGAAATCATTTTCATCGTGAAATCATTTTCATTGTGAAATCATTCCCACCGTGAAATCGTTCCCACCATTGAGCAGTGCCGTGCGTGCGCTGGCAGATCTGGAACACGTTCTTCGGCGGGCGCTACATCATCCTGCTTATGGCCATGTTCTCCATCTACACGGGCCTCATCTACAACGACTGCTTCTCCAAGTCGGTCAACATCTTCGGCTCGTCGTGGCACGTGCGCGCCATGTTCCAGCAGGGCGTGTGGAGGTGAGGCCGCGGCTTTGGGGCGACTTGCGATCCGCGGCCATGTGGCCCACCCCGCGGAACCTCTGCCAAGAGAGACATTGGTGGAGAGGAGGGCCGTGTCCATGAGGGTGCGGCAGTCCGCGTGCGAGCTAGCGTCCCTCCACCGCTCCGTGGCGGAACGGAAGTGGCGTCGTGACGTCGCGTGGTAGACGGAGCGGCGGAACCGATCCGCGTTGTGCAGTCGCTGGACGGGTTGTTGCCGTGGCACGACCTAGCGGTGGTGGTGCCGGCGGTTGGGGAGGCCTCCGTCCAGCGGTGTGGATTGACCGTGGCTGACGATGTTATTTTCTTTGAACCTAACTACGGGACTTTACCGAAAGACCCAAAGAAGATGACAATGTATGTGTGTTGAACTTCTTTCGCACCGTACGTAGCCAACCTTGCTAATGGGAGGTGCGGGATGATGGTCGTGGGAATGTTCTGACGGGGTGAATGTACGTGAAACCCAAAGCAACTCTCCCTCCCTCTCGCTCTCCCTCACGCTCTCTCCCTCGTGTTCTCGCTCTCCCCTGTGTGCCTCTCTCCGCTCCTCAGCGCTGAGACGCTGCAGCTCAACTCGCTGCTGCAGCTGGACCCCAACGTGACGGGGGTCTTCTCGGGGAACCCCTACCCCTTCGGCATCGACCCCGTAAGCAGCGCCACCCGGCGCCCTTGCCGAGCGGCACGTGCCGAGCTCCGGCTCGCAGGCCCCGGGCGTCAAGTGGCCGGCAACGGACGGCACCGTCAATGCCGCAGTGGGCACGGGGTTCACGCCGCCCTTGAATTGAGCAGGGATCTTAGATGAAGTCGGGGAAACGAGAAGACGGTGATGGGAGAGGGAATTCCAAAGTGGAGCCGTGCAAGGGAAGCAGCGGAAAGAGAAGTCAGGTGATCTGCAGTGTGCGAGGGGGTGAGTGGGTGGGTGATTGAGCAGCAGTGGCAGCAGCGGCAGCAGCGTTAGCAGCAGCAGCAGCGGTGGCAGCGGCAGCAGCAGCGGTGGCAGCGGCGGCAGGAGTCCACCCCCGCTCCGTGCACAGCAGCAGCAGCGACGATTGTTCAGAGCTGCAGACGGGTTGGCACGGAAAACAAAACCCAGGCTTCTTGATGCCTCCCGAGGCGGATTACGCTGCGTCGCAGCCCAACGTGCCCCCCCCTTGCGGTGCACCGCGTGCTCGTTACCGATCTCACGGTGAACGGAAGCAAAGTGAGGTGGCAGCAGCTGCCCCCTACGGCGGAGAGGAGCACTCCGTGGAGAGGGCGGCGTGAGGCGCCGACGTTGTGCACACGCTCCACGTTTTACACGTTTAGGGGCTCCGCGGTGGCTACGAGATGTTAACTCCCTCGCCTGGTATGCAGGAGGTCGTGGGTTCGATCCCGACCCTGACGATGCCTGCTGTATACATGGAGGTTCCACTCTCGTTCTGCCCTCCCCCACCCCCAGATTTGGAACATAGCGGGAAACAAGCTGACCTTCCTCAACTCGTACAAGATGAAGATGTCCGTCACCGTGGGCATCATCCACATGATCTTCGGGGTCATCTTGGGCATCTTCAACCACACGTACGTTCGCGCCGTCCGCCGCACGTCACTGACACGGATGCTCATTGATGAATCGACGAGCTCGGCGTTCCGGCTCCCATCCTCGTGTTTAATAATAATGATGATGATGATGATTTAGTGGTACAGCACCTTTTCGAAACATCTCAACACGCTGTACATGAACAAAAACAATTCCCGTCAATTTATATCCACGCGAGAACGGCAGCCTGTAGCGCCTGCGATGCCCCGTGCATCACAGGTGCTACGGGCTGCGGCGGGGCTGCGACCAAGCGCAGCCGGCGCTTGCCGGTACGGTGAAGTATGGTTAGACAACCCCCGCCCCTCCCCCCCCCCCCCCCCCCCCCCCCCATGGGGAGGCCCTCGCCCAACGGGGGGCTGTCCGTATCCATGCCCTCGCACCATGCGGGGCCCAGAGGTGCGGCCGGCTCGCGTCGCCACTCCACGTTCACACGAGCGGCGTTCACGCGGGGGTGGTGTGCAGGTACTTCCACGAGCCGGAGAGCATCTTCCTGGAGTTCATCCCTCAGCTGATCTTCATCCTGTGCCTCTTCGGCTACCTCGTCGTCATGATCATCTACAAGTGGGTCATGTACACGGCCGCCACCTCCTGGCACGCTCCCAGCATCCTCATCCACTTCATCAACATGTTCCTCTTCAACTACGGCGACAAGACCAACGCGCCGCTCTACAGCTTCCAGGTAACCGCCTGCCCGCCCCCAGTCTGCCGTCTGTTCGAGAGCAACGGGGCCTCTCCGAGGTGGCCGCGGCTCGGGGGGGGGGGGGGGGGGAGGGCGCGGCGCGAGCGTTGAGCTGGGATTAAAATTGGGGAGCTCGAGCGCCGCCGCCATTGCTCTGCGTTGGAGGGGCCGGCTCCGTCCCACAGGAGGCTGTGGCGATGGCTGCTCCGCGTTTCCCGACGAGGTCGTTTGGCAAATGCGGCGACGTTTTTGACTTTGACGTGGGCACACGATGGCCAAATCCGTTTGTGACGCGGCCACAAGATCTTGAACGTCCGCCGCGAGGCAGACGGCGCTCGCGACGTTTGGGTGAATACAAACCGCCAAGTGAACCGGGGCGGACCTCCGTAGTGAACTGGGGCGGACCGCCGTAGTGACCGGGGGCGGACCTCTGCGACGAGCGGCAAACGCGTTGCCGCGTCTCCGCCACCCACGCGCCGATCCGGCAAAAGCAACGGACGCGCAGAACTGTATTGTGGGTTTGCATGCACACGTGCGTTCGTGCGTGTGTGCGTGTGTGCACGTGTGCGTGTGCGCGGCTGTAACGGCGTCGGAGTTAATCTCGCCTCTGATCGCCGTGCGCAAAGTTCACCGAATCCAAAGTCCACGGAGGTCGTAGCGGCCCACTCGTGCCGTGCTGCCATGGGGGGGGGGGGGGGGGGGGGGGCGGGTGCCACCTTCCCCGTGCCGCACCCCCTCGGCGCGCACCGTGGGGTTTATGGCTTTAAAGGTTGTGGGAATTGTCTCCATAAAATGTCGTCCTCTTATAAAAGTCAAGGTGAGTTCCTGCTGCTCAAATTAGTTTAGAGCCATTCTGTGCCAGTGGTAGAAATTCCACATTCCTAGGGTAGGCGTGAGTCTCTCCATAGAACTTGTCCACAAAGTGGTAGTTATTTTATCGACCCTGGCGGGATGATGATGGGCTGAGTCAACCCCAAAAAAGGATTTGAACTCGCGCACTCCTGGACGTGAGCCGCTTGCTCTACCGCTGATTATCGTTAACAATTAGCACGAGGTGTGTATGGCTTCATGCGTGTACGATGCAGTTTACATGCGTGCCCAAGCTGTCCCGACGTGCATCGCCGACAGGCAGAAAGCGTTCATTGTGCGCGCCGCGGGGGAGCCGGCATTCTCATCGACGAGCGTGCAGCCTGCACGACACCCGCAGCTGCGTCGCCGGTGTGTTAGGTGGCAAGTGCGGTTGTTCAACGCGGCCGTGGGCAGTCTGGCAGTGGAGCTGTGATCAGTCCAGGTTGGAGGCAATCGGCGGTCCCGCAGTAAAACCACCGCACGCAAAATAAAACAAACGCCCGGAGTTTGCCCGGCAGGCGTTTTTACCGCAGTGCAGCAGCGTCGCTCGGATCCACCAAAGTTCTGCCTCTCACGATGATGGCGCCTTGACACCGCGCGAGGCAGACAAAGTGCGAGATCAGGGCGTCGGTGGCCACGGCCGATGGCGAACGCCGCCGCGTCTCTCGGCAGCGCGACCCTCGCGGCCACTGCGGCGCTCACGCGGTCGCTTGCGGTGGAGCCGGCGGGGGGGTGCCGGCCATGGGCCGCCGTGGCCCGGCACGAGCCCCCTGGTCCTCCTCCTCGTCCCCGCCGCCTTCAGAGCCGTTGGAGGTTGTGGCCATTTCCTTCACCTCCTCGCTGTGTGGCCGTGCCGTCTCTCTCCGATAGGAGGGCCCTGTGTTCGCCTTGCCCCCGCTTAGCGGCGCTGGGCTTGGCCTGCCCCGGCCTGTGGGCCCCGGCGCAGCTGCACCGCCTGCGCTCTGCGAGCGTCCTCTCTCCGTGGTGCCCGGCAGCGCTCTCGGCGTCTCCGCGAATAGGAAGGGCTCGTGATGTCATCGTTGGCTCGTGATGTCATCGTTGTGCTTTCGCTCACCCAGGAGAGCGCCACCGAGTATCGAGACTTTTTTGGGCCCTGCCACGTTTTTCTGTAGGGGGACACGGTGGCTGTTCGTTTCTTACCTAAGTCAAATTTCGTAAACTTCTCCAAACTTTCCAAATTTGAGATTTTTTTTTTTTAATTTGGCAAGTTTTGACCAGCAACTCCGGCAGATAATTGCCAACTCTTCTTTGATTCGCCTCGTGGGAGCTTTAACGTCCACTGAGAAGCACGCGGCGCGTAGTATTTGATGTTATGGCGCCTGCGCTATTAACCAGGGGTGGGCTTCTGGATCCGAACCACGAGCGTCGGTAACGCGCCACCGCTGGGGCGCAGTGACGCGGCCTCGCGGCTTTCACCGTCAGAATCCAGCAGCCACCCCAAATGAACACTGCCGGTGCGTTAACCGTGAAATAAAACTATATAGACTCCACGCCGACTGATTCGCAGTGGACCTAAAATATCCCCTCGAGTCGGCCGTCGTGCGCCAGCATCGCGGTTTAAATTTGAACAATCGCCTCCAAGTGACTCGACTGGGATGAAGACGTGGCGATCATCGACCCCCCCCCCCCCCCCCCCACTGCGGGCACTCAGCAGGGGCCTCCTGGAGAATAGTCGTGAGACTCGGCGAGGCTTTCCTGGGTAAACGAGCGCAGGACGACAGCGACAATAAACAACAATAATAATGATAATGATGATGCACCGCCTGACGTGCCATGTTGTGTCTCTACTGCAGCAAGACCTGCAGACCTTCCTGGTGATCTTCGCCCTCATCGCCGTGCCCTGGATGCTCTTCTTCAAGCCCTTCGTTCTGCGCTCCAAGCACCGCCGCTCGCAGCGCCTGGTGAGCTCTGGGACCCACGCGGCCGCCTGCCCTGCGCCCTGCGCTCCACACATCGCCACCCTAGTACACAGTGCCCCGCGTGCGTGTGCGCTCGCGTGTGTGTGTGTGTGGGTGGGTGCGCAAGCGTGCATGTGCTCGCGTGCGTGTGTGTGCTGCCATTGCTGGGCATGCACCGAGATGAACACCGATATGAACACTGAGATGAACTTCGCAGCCGTGTGGCTCGCCGAAGGTGGAATCCCTCTGTGATGATGTAAGCCACTGAATGCGCGTAAGCCACGTGGGGGGCGGGGGGGGGGTGGAGATTAAACATTTTACATTTTATTTGCTGCTGCTACGTTTGCAGTGGTTCACGACGAAGAACTCAACACCTTCGTCAATAACACCGCCACAGAGCATAACAAATAATTATATTGTATATAGAACAGGCCCCGTTATGACCGTGTGCCACCAACAAGAGCCATTGCCCAGTGTCACCTATTGGAGACGTCTTTCCTCTCAGGGACACGGGGTAAATGGCGGAGGTGTTGAGTGATTGTGATGTCGGAAGATCCGGGCACGGCAGTGGCTCCCCAAAGGTCGGCATCACAGGGGAAGCCCCGAAGCCAACAAGGCGGTGGTGGTGATGGCGGCGGGGTTGGTGGCGGTGTTGGTGATGGCGGCGGTGGTGGTGGTGGTGGGGTTGGCAGGGGGGCGGTGGTGGTGGTGGTGGTGGTGGCAATGAGACTGAATGAGCGGTGCGGGGAGTCTAAAGAGTGCAGGGGTGACGGTGCATGTAAGAGGGATCGAGGTACGATGGGGATCTATCACGGGGAGGGCTCTCGCCTTTAAACACCGGGCAGGTCACCAGCATTAGATCGGGTAAAGCCCGACTACTAAACCCCTCAACCACATTGCTTGTGTTTAACGACCGCCGCCGAGATGATGCACTCGCAGGGGGTGGCCGATGTGACGTGGGAAGGAGGCGAAGTCGTGCGCGGGGGGTGTGACTTGGGAGCCGCTCTCGTGCCGCCGCAGCTCCAGAACTCGTACGTCAACGGCGGCTCCACGGACGACGCGGAGGTCGCGAGGGAGCCGCCGCCCGAGCCGGCGGATCACGGCGGCGGAGCTCACGGTGACCACGGAGACCACGGAGAGGTGACCGGGGGCAGAAAATAAAAATAAAAAATAAAACTCTCCACAAATAGTGGACTAATAAAATAATAAAAATAAAACATAATAAAATAATTGTGAGAATTATTTTATCATGTTTTATTTGCATTATTTTATTACTTCCCTTCTACGTGACTTTACCGAAAGAACCAAGAAGATGAATCCCTGCAGTCACGAAAGCTTTAAATCGAAAAATAGTGGACTCTCTCACGAGCGTCTCCTCGGTCCCTGACGGTCGAATTTGTGTTGTTTGTGGCCGTTTTCAGTTTGACTTTGGGGACGTGTTTGTGCACCAAGCCATCCACACCATCGAGTACTGCCTGGGCTGCATCTCCAACACGGCCTCCTACCTGCGCCTCTGGGCCCTCAGCCTGGCCCACGCCCGTGAGTTCACCCCCCCCCCCCCCCCTTTGTCGTAGCTGCGATCTCCCCACGGTGTTTATATCTGGGTCCCGCTGTCGGCGTCGCGTCGTCGTCACGAGAAGAAGAATCCGTTGGGGTCTCTCGCGGGGCGGGGAGGGTCGCCGATTGCCGATAGCCGAGCTTTGACGGACACCTGTCGGGGCGCGCTGCGTTTTTGCCGAAACCCGCTCGGTCGCCTCGGAGAGCGCCGCGCGCCGTTGATACGCCACGTGCGGTTGACTCTGCGCGTGCGGTTGACTCGTTCTGCCGTCCCCTGGAGCAGAGCTGTCCGAGGTGCTGTGGACCATGGTGCTCAAGATGAGCCTCAAGAACGGGCAGTGGTCCGGCCTCGTCATCGTCTTCTTCATCTTCGCCGCCTTCGCCGTCCTCACGGTGGCCATCTTGCTCGTGATGGAGGGCCTCTCGGCCTTCCTGCACGCGCTGCGCCTGCACTGGTAACGCACACACACAGGCACAGACACGCGCGCACAGACACGCGCGCACAGACACGCGCGCACAGACACGCGCGCACAGACACACGAGCACAGACACGCACACAGGCACGCACGCACACAGGCACACACAGACACGCACACACACAGACACGCACACACACAGATACACACACACACAGATACACACACATACAAAAGACCCCCCCATATAGCCTTGACAGACTGTAGGGGCAAGTGCTGTTAGCGAGCACCTACGAAGGCCGGAACGGTACACGAGGGGGTGGGTGGCCAGCACCACGCCCGGCCACCTTTATCTCCCCAGTGGCGATGTTTACTACACACCGCACTCGGTACTCATTCGAGGCTGAGTTGACCTAGGGGAGGCCTAGGACCGGTTCAGATAATCGTCACTGGTGTTGGCCGTGAGCGTGAATCGAACCTGGATCGTCGGGTTCATAGCGCAGCGTAGCGCTAACAACTACACCCGGCTCGCCGGTCGCGAGCCGCCCGCACCACGGCCGTGGCCGCGAGGTCACCGTGGCCGCGAGGTCGCCGTGGCCGCGAGGTCACCGCGAGGTCACCGCGAGGTCACCGTGGCCGCGAGTCAAACCTCCGGTTGTTTGTTCCACCCCTCCCGTCGCGCGCCAGGGTGGAGTTCCAGAACAAGTTCTACCACGGCACGGGCGTCAAGTTCACGCCGTACTCCTTCGAGAGCATGCTGGAGGACGGCGGCGGCGGGGACTCTGAGAGCTAGGCCCGGGGGAGCCTCTGACGGGGCCTGTCCCGGGGCCTTCTACGCAGCGGCCTCCCTGCTGCGGCCCAGCGGTCGCGCCACCCCCGGCGCTCCACGGCGTCGCTGCGTTTCAAGGCCCCGTTCCGCGTAGGCCGCTTTGCGGAGATAATCGTAAAATGTTCAAAGTGAGTTTTTGTTTTGTGTTTAACCAGGTGGTGAGAGTGTCATGATGCCAGAGCGGCCTGGGTCACGGAAGCGACAAAAGCCACAACGTGAGCAATGAAGCCAATAGACGTCGGCGTGAAAGCAAGTGGCGTTGGGGGAAGAAATTCCAGACGGGTCACAAACGTAGATCAACGTCAATTGAAGTTGATTTCCCGCAACGAAATTTGTCTAAGGTAAAATCGCTAAAAATTTATTTTTAAAAAAGCGTTTTTAGTGAAACGAAGTTGCGGACGACGCGGATTGATGGGGGCGATCGCAGTCGTGTCGGTCCCCACTCCGCTCTGCTGCCTCCTCCGCCGCAGAGACCTCCTGAGGCTCGTGGTCTCCTCTTCCCCCGTAGACCAGACGCCGTGAACGCGTTGGGCACCTTCCCGGCCGCAGCCCCGAGCAGGTCTTGCCACGTCCCACGGCGCGCCACTCTCCGCGATGTGATGCTTTCGTGACTGCAGGAATCCATACTCTTTGGTTCTTTCGGTAAAGTCACGTAGGTATAAATAAAATAAAATAAATCGCTTTATTTTTTATTTTATTTCTAACTACGTCACTTTACCGAAAGAACCAAAGAGGATGCGTCACTCCTACTCGCAAGTGGCCGCGCTTTTGTGAAATTATTTTTCTTTGAAAAGAAAATCCTCCTTGAGGCTTTCGGTTGGTTCCGTGAGCGTTGGAGTCGGTGGTCCGACTGCATTTCCGATGAGGGCCGGCACCGCTGCGTCGCCGGTACCCTCGGCGCCGGCTGCGTTGTCGCGCGCCCCATGCCTCGTACCCCCCGTGCCTCGTGCCCTGTGCCACGTGCCACGTGCCCCGTGCCCCGTGCCCCGTGCCCCGTGCCCCGTGCCCCGTGCCTCCCGTTGCCGTCGCTCCGATGGCATCGACTGGGACCCCACCGCTCGGGTCACGGCGCTGTACGAGGCTGCGCCGTCGCGAGCAACTGTTGCCATAAACCCGCAGTTGTCGGCCTCGGGGAACGGTGAACGCAGGGGGGGGGGGCGCGGGGGGTGGGGATATCACAAGTTGCCCAAAGGTTGAAGCGAGTTCTGCGACTGTAAATTGGTCGAATGGATTTTGAATAAACCGGATGACTGCACCTCGTGCCGTGTGAGCTGTGCACGCCGCACGCGTTGAACTTCTTTCGCACCCTACGTCGTCCACCAAGCTCGGGTCTCGAGGGCGCGCTGGCGCTGCCAGGCGCAGTCCACGAGCGCGCGCGGCTCCTCGTCACCGCCGTCCCTCGGCTCCTCGCCTCGTGCGCCGTGAGGACGGAGCGGGTGAGACTCCCCCCTCGGGTGGAGTGCGAGCGGCGCGCCGTCGATGCGGGCACGGGGGGGGGGCCCCCATCAGGAGTTTGGTTCGTGCAGCTTGCAGGCAGGGAGGGGGTGGGGGGGTGCACGATGCACCCTCGATGCTCCTCGCGTTGCACCGGGGACACGGGGGGGGGGATGCCTCCACCCCCCCCCACCCCCTGCTCTGCCCCCCAGCGGGTCCCCTCTCGACACCCCCCACCCCCCTACCCCCCTCTGGGAGCCTGGCGCACCCCCCCCCCCCTCCGCGGTAGCTTCTGCGACGCGTCCCTTGGGGTTGTAGCCCCCCGCGCGTCGCGATGCGTCCCGCCGGTTCGCCATGGGACGGGGCCGGTGAGCGCGCGATGCGAAGCGGCTCTCACTCTGGTGTGTGGTGCAGGGTACTCTACAGCAGTGCACACGTGTGTGTGTGCACACGTGTGTGTGTGTGCACACGTGTGTGTGTGTGTACACGTGTGTGTGTGTACACGTGTGTGTGTGTACACGTGTGTGTGTGTGTACACGTGCGCGTGTACACGTGCGTGTGTGTGTGTACACGTGTGTGTGTGTGTACACGTGCGTACGTGTGTGTGTGTGTGTGTACACGTGTGTGTGTGTACATGGTAGTGTAGCGGTTAGCACGCTGCACTACGACCCCGGAGACCCGAGTTCGATTCCCGCTCACGGTCAACACCAATGACGGTTTTCAGAACCAGTACTGGGCTTCCCTTAGGTCGACTCGGCCTCAGATAAATACCCGGTGCGGTGTGTAAACACATCCCCACTGGAGAGACGAAGCGGGGTCGGGCGTGGTGGTGCTGGCCGTCCACCCCCTCGTGTGCCTGGGAGTTGGCCTTCGGAGGTGCTCGCTAACTGATTGCCCAACATCAGAGACGATGCATATGGAGGGTGCTTCAAACAAATGCTAACACTTCTTATGGGACTATCGTTTTTAATGGGAAAACCCGGATAATACATTGTAACATGACAGATGTAATGGTAATAGCCAGAGGTGTGGACTCGAGTCATGTGACTTGGACTCGAGTCAGACTCGAGTCATGAATTTGATGACTTCAGACTCGACTTGGACTTGCATAACAATGACTTTGTCCCACCTCTGAGGTGTGGACTCGAGTCATGTGACTTGGACTCGAGTCAGACTCGAGTCATGAATTTGATGACTTCAGACTCGACTTGGACTTGCATAACAATGACTTTGTCCCACCTCTGGTAATAGCTACCGAAAGTCATCGAGTCTCCACTTGTTCGCCGTCGTGGTCGTCAAGTAGGCTGGCATCCTCCCCAGGTGGTCTCCAGAACCCCGAGCCACGCTTCTTGTGGTGTTGTTGCAAATTGTCTCAAGTGTCGACGTTTGTTTGAAGCACCCTGTGAGTGATTATCATCAAAGCATCTCCGTTGACATGTTCACCACAAGTACGCGTGGTTCATGCCGACTTGATTCCTTGCAAAAAAAGGTTTCTATTTGTTGTTTGGATATCTTAACACCTCCTGTTGTTATTGCCAGCACGGGTAAAACCTCGTCTTATTATTCGTACTTTGATACGGGCAAAGATGTCCCTTGAACGTCAACTTTGGGGCTTCGGGTCCCCGATCCGCCTCGAGGACCCTTGTGCAGTTGCACCGCCTGCACACCCAATGCCTGCACCCCTTGCTGGAGCCCGGATGTCGTCTCTATTTAGAGAACTCGATGCAAACCGCTCAACCACGTGGGCCGTTCAACATTGCACGGCCACACGATCTCTGCGTTTCGTAAAACTAAAAATGGCAACGTTGCTTTGTGATTCTTAAACAGCAGTTTAGTTTACAAAAAAACCCGTGGAGGTTTTGCAACGGCGACTAATTGAGCCATGCAGAGATGTTCACTGGCTGTGATTTCCGAGTTTATTTGAGTAGTTTGTACTTTCCGCGAAACTCAACTTGCAATTGGAAACCCACGGAACCCCACCGCTTGCTGCTGCCGCGAGGCTTTGATGAGCCAGAGAGAGCGAAGAGTTGGCAGAGGACACCCGCAGCTCGGCAGGGGGGGCTCGGGGGGGTAGGGGCTCGAGGGGGGGGACCTCATGGGGGGACCTCATGGGGGGGGGGCTCCCCTCCCCTCCCTCCCCGGGGCCCTTCCGTTCCGTGGAGACGCGTGGGCATCCCGTCCGCTGGTAGCCAGTAGCCAGTGCCCGTCTATATGAAGACGCGAACCCCCCCAATGAGCGCGGGGGGGGGGGGGGCACGTGGCGGTGCGGCCCTGGAGCTGCCCCCGCGCCTCTCGACCGCTGGGGAAGGAGTCGCGCGGACTCCGCTGTGGAGAGCGAGGCCGGGGCCCGGGTGGCGGTGGTGACGATCTCGCCACTCGTGATTTCGCTGCGAGTAGCGACCTCTGCATCGTGCCCCGTGGCGAACAACACTGGCGTCCACTGTGCGCGAGACAGATCGTTTTGTCTTTTCTTTTGGATAGAGAACTCGGACATGCGCACACACACACACGGACACACACACGGAGGCACACACGGAGACACACACACGGACACGCGCATGTTCTGTAGTGACCCTCGGATGGCACCGCTCGCCACTGGCGCGTTGTGCCGGGGCCCCGCGCGGCTCTCCGTGGGAGGCCGCGGCTATAAGAGGCGGCGGGGTGGACGCGCGCGGACGGGCTCGAGCACTCCGCTCTGCGCGTCTCTCTGTTTGCTCAGCCCGGCGAAGGCGGCGGGCGCGCCTGCGAGGGCGAGCCCACGACGTGGTGGCCCCCAGCCCTGCTTTGTCGACAGCAGCAGCAGGAGCAGCAGCAGCAGGAGCAGCAGCAGGGGCAGCAGCAGCAGGAGCAGCAGCAGCAGGAGCAGGAGCAGCAGGAGCAGCAGCAGCAGGAGCAGCAGCAGCAGCAGGAACAGCAGGAGCAGCAGCAGGAGGAACAGCAGCAATAGTAGCAGCAGCAGGAACAGCAGGAGCAGCAGGAGGAGCAGCAGGAGCAGCAGCAGGAACAGCAGGAGCAGCAGGAGGAGCAGCAGGAGCAGCAGCAGGAACAGCAGGAGCAGCAGGAGGAGCAGCAGGAGCAGCAGCAGGAACAGCAGGAGGAGGAGGAGGGGGGCCAGGGGACACGATCGGAGCTGCGTCTCAGAGTTGCTGCCGCGGCCCCGGGATTGTGCCGCGGGTGTCGTCGCGAGTGGCGCTGCCCGGCACACACCTGGACCCCCCCCCCCGGCACACACCTGGACCCCCCCGCACCGCGCGCCCCACCGCAGGTAAACACGGGGAGATGGAGCTGCTGCTGCTGTGCCACCCCAAACTGCTTGCGCCTGGTTGTGTATACACATACACACGTTGTGTCTGTGTATACACATACACTGTCTGTGTATACACACGTTGTGTCTGTGTATACACACACACACCTGGCCTACCCATAGGTCGACTGAGCACGTGGTGCAGTGTGTTACCATCAGCACTGGTGGGGAGACAAAGGCGGCCAAGACTCTGTACGAAGAGCGAGGGGGCGATCCATGAACAGACACCCCACCGGTGTCTCGCGACCCTCAGGGCGCCCTGGGGTTGGTGGCGCCCTGGGGGCGGTGCGGGACGTGTGGACACGCACGCCCCGAGGGCGCTGACGATCTGTTCTCTCTCTGCTCTCTCGGGGACCGTCTGGATACGCATCGCCCCGTGTACACGCAGCGGTCGTGCAATGCTGCTGAGAATGTGCCGCCTTTAATATAAATGTGTAAATGTAGTCGGCGACGTTTCGGGCAATGTTTCTTCTTCATAGAACGCGTGCCACATTGTTTAAAGGCAGTGGAAATTAATGAACTGCCAGGGAGCCGTGTTGACGATGGCGTATGTCGAGAATACACACGTGTGTGTGTATTCTAGAACACACACACACGTGTGGTCTAGAATACACACGTGTGGTCTAGAATACACACGTGTGTGTGTGTTCTAGAACACGTGTGTGTTCTGGAACACATACACACGTCTTCTTGGTTCTTTCGGTAAAGTCACGTAGAAGGGAAATAATAAAAATAAAACATAATAAAATAATTCTCACGACGTTTCGGCCACAACGCAAGCAGCCGTCCTCAGGTGAAGAACAGGTCTGTCGAGAAGACAGTCTGAATGACACACCCCAGGCTTGGAGCGTCTATTTAAGCTGGGATGGAGGGGGAAGGGCGCCTTGACAAAATAATTTGCATAGCTTTAAATCGAAACATACACACGTGTGTGGTCTAGAATACACACGTGTGTCTAAAACACACACACACGTGTGTATTCTAGAACACACACGTGTGTGTGTGTATTCTAGAACACACGTGTGTGTGTGTGTGTAGTCTGTCGAGGCTCCCCGGGCGGGGCCTTTGCCTGAGGTCGCCGCTGTCGCGGCCAAGTGGAAGCGCCGCAGTTTGCGGGAGCCGCGTCCTGCAACGTGTCACCTGTCGCGTTTGTCCCGCGACTCCCTCGCACGCCGCCTGGGCGGCAGCCACCGCCTCGTGCACGGAGAAGCGCGGTGCAGCAACAACAGCAGCAGCAACAGCTTCAGCACCTGCAGCAACAACAGTTGCAAGCAGCAGCAGCCGCAGCAGCAGCAGCCACAGCAGCAGCAACAGCCACAACAGCAGCAGCAACAGCCACAGCAGCAGCAGCCACAGCAGCAGCTTCAACAGTAGCTGTAAGCAGCAGCAACAGCAGCAACAGCACCTGCAGCAGCCGCAGCAGCATCCTGCGTCCCGTGCCGTGGCCGCGTCCTCACGGGGAGCGGCGGCGCGGCGATTTGGGTGCGGAAAGCCGACATCGACCCCCCCTAGCCCCCCCGACTCCCGGCTAACGTCAGTGGCGAGCGCAGTGGCGAGCCGGCCCCGGTCGGCCCGTGCCCAGCGACCCGCGCTGAGCAGCGCGGTGCGAGCTGGGGTGGTCGCCCTCGTCCAGCAGTGGAGCGGCAGGGGGCAGTGCGGGGACGAGCACCATCACCATCGTCATCGTCATCATCATCCATCATCATCATCATCGTCACCATCCATCATCCATTATCATCATCGTCATTCATCATCATCCATCATCATCATCGTCACCATCATCATCCATCGTCATCATCTATCATCATCCATCGTCATCATCATCATCCATCATCATCGTCATCCATCGTCATCATCATGGTCATCATCATCCATCATCATCCATCATCATCGTCATCATCATCATCCATCGTCATCCATCGTCATCATCATGGTCATCATCATCCATCATCATCATCATCCATCGTCATCATCATCATCCATCATCATCGTCATCCATCGTCATCATCATGGTCATCATCATCCATCATCATCCATCATCATCGTCATCATCATCATCCATCGTCATCCATCGTCATCATCATGGTCATCATCATCCATCATCATCGTCATCCATCGTCATCATCATGGTCATCATCGTCATCATCATCATCCATCGTCATCCATCGTCATCATCATGGTCATCATCATCCATCATCATCATCCATCATCATCGTCACCATCGTCACCATCATCACCATCGTCATCGTCACGGGACCCCGCCGCCGCCACCGCCACTGTTCGAGTCGCGGGGTTCAGAGTCCACGCGGCCGTCGGGGCGCTGCGCGGCGTTCTGTGGCGTCTCGCAAAGTTCCACTTCGCCATCACCACCAACATCACCACCAACATCACCACCATCACCACAACTCTCAACATCACCACTATCAACATCACCACCATCACCACAACTATCAACATCAACATCACCAACATCCCCACCAACATCACCACCAACATCACCACCATCACCACAACTATCAACATCAACATCACCAACATCCCCACCAACATCACCACTAACATCATCACCAACATTCCACCAACATCACCACCATCACTACTATTCTTAACATCACCACCACCACTATCAACATCACCATCACCACCACTATCAACATCACCACCACTATCAACACCACCATCAACATCACCACCACCACTATCAACATCATCAACATCAGCACCATCAACAATCACCACCATCACCACCACTCTCAACATCATCACCACCACCAACAACAATCGCCACCACTCTCATCAGCAGCCATTGTCTATCCACTGCTGGACTGAGGGCCCCCACCCCCCTGCTCGCACCTCGTCCGAGTCTGCGCGCTCGGCCTCGCCTCTCGCGGCCTCGTCTCTCGCGGCCCCCGGCGATGTCCCAGAGGAGGCCGCGGGGCCACAAGCGGCGCGACTCCTCTTCACTGCTGCCGCTGCCACTCGCATCGACCCTCAAGCACCACGTGAACGTCGCAGCGACGTCGCTCTCGGGGTGCGCTGGGGGGGAGGGAGGGGAGCTCCGTCCAGAGCAGCCCAGGAACTTCTCGCACTTCGTCTCGGACCCCTGCGCTGTTCCCTCACCCAGGGGCGTCGCGCGAAACGTCGGTCTGCTTGCAATGACGAGTGGTGGTGGTGGCGGCGGGGGAGGGGGAGTGTGGTGGTTTGCGACCGTAGACGGTGCCGGACACCGTGCACGTGACCCGCGGGGGGTAGAGTTGACATACAGGCTGCTGCTGCTGCAGATATACAGACTGCTGCTGCTGTTGCTGCTGCTGCAGGCTGCTGCTGGCATACAGGCTGCTGTTGCTGCTGCTATTGCTGCTGCTGCAGGCTGCTGCTGCTGTTGCTGCTGCTGCAGGCTGCTGCTGGCATACAGGCTGCTGTTGCTGCTGCTATTGCTGCTGCTGCTGTTGGGATACAGGCTGCTGTTGCTGCTGCTGCTGTTGCTGCTGCAGGCTGCTGCTGCTGCAGGCATGCAGGCTGCTGTTGGCAGGCATGCAGGCTGCTGCTGTTGCTGCGGGCTGTTGCTGCTGCGGGCTACTGATGCTGCTGCTGCTGTTGCAGGCTGCTCCGACCTGTTGCGTATCTCGCGAGCGACTCGCCTCGCGACGGCTCGGACGAGAGACGACTCCCAAGAAGAGCCTCTGCGTGTCTCCACGTGCACGCGGACCCGCTCCTCCTCTCGTCCTCTGCGTGTCTCCACGTGCACGCGCACTCGCTCCTCCCGTGCGCTAACCGCGTCGTCGTCTCTCTGTCTCCGCTGCCGCCCAGGTGAGGTGCCCAGGTGAGGTGCCCAGGTGAGGTGCCCAGGTGAGGTGCCCAGGTGAGGTGCCCAGGTGAGGTGCCCAGGTGAGGTGCCCAGGTGAAGGTGGTGGCGGCCGTGCCAGGACAAGTGAACGCCGACAGGTAGGGACGGCCCACCGAGCGCCCGCACGCCGCTCGCCGGCGCGTGCGGGTTTCTGCGTCGATGCCCGCGTGCTTTTTATTGTTCGGCGCCATGTCCGACGTTTCGCGCACACCGCGCCCGACTACGAACACACCCACCACGAGGTACTCCGCTCACACACAAAAGACAAAGCTCCCCCTGTAGTCCACACAGGCTCGCCGGGGCAAGTGCTGTTAGCGGGCCACCTGTGTGTGGTCAGGCCGGGGCGGCGCGCGAAGGGACGCGTGGTGGCCACTCTGCACCGGCGCCCGTCCGGACACATTCGTCTCCAAAGTGCTGCTGTCCGCACACACCACCACCACCACACTCTGGTCTTAAGGCTGAGTCGACCAAGGGGGAGGCCCAGGACCGGTTCAGATCGCCGTCACTCGTTGTTTGTGAGCGGGAATCCCATGCGGGTCGCTGGGTCCGTAGCGCAATGCGCTGGCCCACTCCACTTACCGCTACCCACATCGCACGCATACCGGAGACTCGCGGTCATCGTTCAGATGGTTTGGGGAACACGCGAACCTGATAGAGCCAGGGCTTGATGCAGGAGAGGGAGTGGCTGGGGATGGGATTGCGAGGTGAGATGGAGAGGGCGGGGGGGAGTATTGAGAGGTGGGATTACAAGGCAGGATTGAGAGGGGGAGATTGTGAGGGGGATGGGGAGCGGAGGATTGCGACGTGTTGTTGCACCGTGGGATCGCGAGGTGTGATTGCACGCTGGGATTGAGACGTGGGATTAAGACGTGGGATTGCGAGGTGAGATTACGAGGTGGGCTTGAGACGTGGGATTGCACTCTGGTATTGCACGCTGGGATTGCGAGGTGGGATTGCGAGGTGGGATTGCGAGGTGGGATTGAGACGTGGAATTGCGAGGTGGGATTGCACTCTGGTATTGCGAGGTGGGTTTGCGAGGTGGGATTGCAAGGTGGGGTTGCGACGTGGGGTTGCGAGGTGGGATTGAGACGCGGGATTGCACTCTGGTATTGCCCGGTGGGATTTGCCCGGTGAGATCGCCTGGTGGGATCGCGAGGTGGATTGCGAGGTGTGATTGAGACGTGGGATTGCAAGGTGGGGTTGCGACGTGGGGTTGCCTGGTGGGATCGCCTGGTGGGATTGCGAGTTGGGATCGCGTCGCCCGCGGCCCTGAGCTGTTCCTCCACGTGGCCGAGGCTGGCGGCAGCGATGGGCGGTCTCCGCGTTTCCACCGAGCTTCTCGCCGCCTTCACCGAATCACAACTAGATCTGCACGCACGGCAAACAGAATACAGTTAGTAAACACCACACCTCCCTCGCTCATTCTGGCCATCACCACCCACGGGTAAAATGCCCTTGGCGAGCCACTCCGGTGGGTTTGCCGTCGTTGATTTACAACTCGGATTGCGTGGACGTCTTGCGCCACTGGTCGGTAAAACGACCAAAAAAACCCACCGTGCAGCCGCCTTGGCAGTCCGCTGCTGGATGCGAGCTTCTACCGCGAGGCGCTGCGGGTGTTTGGCCCAGACTTGACCGCGCGGTGTGGGGTAGGAGGGCCGGGCCCGGAAGGGATGCATCTCTCGCCGCTGGTGTTGGCCGTGGACGGGAATCGCGAACCGCTTCCGCCGGGCTCGTAGCGCCGTGCCGAAATCACCGAGTCCCGCCCGCCGCTAAGAGCTGCAACGTCCACGTGGCCGTGCGCTGGCCGCATCGTTGTTGCCATGGAGCAGGCCTAGGCCAGGCCGACCTGCAAAGTGTCCCACACCGTACTCTTTGGTTCTTTCGGCAAAGTCACGTAGGTCGAAAAACAATAGATCACGACGTTTCGATCGCAACACAAGCAATTGTCATCAGGTGGGACAACCACGGCAAGAAAAAACGGCTGTGGTTGTCCCACCTGATGACGATTGCTTGTGTTGCGATAGAAACGTCGTGATCTGTTATTTTCTACCTACGTGACTTTACAGAAAGAACCAGAGTATGGATTTCTGCAGTCACGAAAGCTTCAAATCAAGATTGTCTGGCCTGAGACCGCAGTGAGTGACCTGCACCCTCCCTCCCGCGGCGACGAGAAAGCACCAAGAGCCCTTGGGCATGACGAGCCGTGCAGACAATGCGCGCCAGCGATGACCTATTTAGGGTTCCTTCACCTGGGGGAGATCTAGGCCAGTCTTCTCCTGTTCGCACTCTTATCGCTACGAACACGGCCGTAGCGTGTACATCTTCAGTATTGTTATCTGTCTCCCTTACAAGCCCGACACTATCGCAGTTGGCTTTCACTTCTTGATTTGAAGCTTTCGTGACTGCAGGAATCCATGCTGTTTGGCTTTCACGTGATTATAATTGATAGTTCTTGCACTTTGAGCGCCGAGGACATAGAGGCAAACAGATATTGTCCCCGACGGCGAGACGCCCGATACATCTGTTGCTATTTCTGTGCCGTGTTCACATTGGCCCGAGACTTGTCCAAGGCCTGGCGAGAGAGGCAGACCGAGCGCCTGGCGTGCTGGTACCGGGCCGCCGTGACGCGCCCCGGCTCTTTGCGGTTTGTGGAACTCTCAACCCAAATCCGAGTCAAGTCAAAGTCCCCGCTGGAGACAGGGCGCGAGGCCACGTTGGCCGTTGCGCTCGCCTCTCTCCCCGCGAGCCGGATTTGAGCTACCAGGATGAACTCTGCGGCTCTCGCGGGCCCCGATGTAAGCGGGGGGGGGGGGGGGGAAACCCTCCGCGCCTCTCGCCGCGTTTTACTTTGAAACGAAATGCGTGGCGGCCGCTCCGTTCCACCGCCTACCTCGGCCACGGGGCAGTGACCTCTGGGCGTCAGGGTGGGTGACCCCCTGTGGTAACGCTCGCGCCTCGCACCAAAAACATGCTAAGTTCGATTCCCGGCTCGGGCACCTTTCTGCGTGGGGTTTGTGTGTTCTCTCCCCCTGCCCCGTGCATGGGCTTTCTCCTGTTTCTCCATGTGCTCCTCCCATAGCTAATGGAACACGCGTAGTGTGAGCGCCAGTGGCCAAACATCCCAAAGCTGAAGATTTACCTGCAAATTGCTCCATTGGGATCACACGCAACAGCAGCAGCAGCAGCAGAATTACCCCACCGATTGCAAGAGTTTGGCAGGGCCCTGGTGATAAAGTATGGAGGCTTTCCTGGGTCAACGAGCATTAATACATACATACAATTAAACCAGCAGCGTTCGGGAAACCGTTGAAGGCAGACGAACTCTCACTGAGTCTGACAGCGGTGAGAAGGAGGCAAGAGGCGGAAGACACGCGTGGCCGCCGTGTACGCTGTGCCCAATGTGCCCAACGTGCCTGCCATGCCCGCTGTGCCCGCTGTGTCCGCTGTGCGAGCCATTCCCCCCCACTCAAGCCGGGTGGAACGGCGAGTGTGTGGCGTAGTAGCCGTGTGTGTTGGGGGTGGGGGGCACCACGAGGCTCACAACCACCCAGCAACAAGCACGCCAACTTGGGATGCTCCACCTCCACCACCGCACCGTACTCGCTCGCTGTGCAAGAGCGAGAACCTCCAATTAGCACGGTTGGCTACGTACGGTGCGAAAGAAGTTCACCGTACGTACGAGAATGGCCCAGAGGCGCGCGGTGGAACCGCAGGCGGGCGGAAAGGCAGCGGCCAGGCGGGCAGCCGGTGCCCCCAAGGTCTGGCGTCCTCTCTGTATGCAGGTGTTAGCGGCCAACTAACTTGCTCAAACAAAAGTAAGGAACCGTAAAGAGAGGAAGACCTCACAGAGAATGGCTTGACGACGACGTCAGCAGTGATTGGTGCCAGAGAGCTGTGGCCACCGCTTGAGAATATTGGCACAAGGCAGCGGAAAGTGGAAACAAAAGACGAACATTGTGCAGTGGACACCCACCTGGTCGTGGATTGGCCTGTCTGTGAATGAGTGTCTGTGAATGAGTGTCTGTGGGACCACGTGTGCGGTGGGTGCGAGGAGCCAGCCACCCCAATAAAGACGGTGCCTGCGGTGCGTGAGAGACGACTTTGCCCATCGTCAGCCCGACTTGATGCCTCTCGTCGTCAGCATTTATCAATCGCCCCCTCTGCGGAATGCCAAGAGCTGCCACGAAGTGCTTCAGTCTCGCGCGGTCTCTTGGTGCTCGGTAAGAGGGCGGGAATGGACACCGGCGGAGGCTGCGTTTAGAGCAAAAAACAAAAGACGTGTTGTTTGTGTTTTTAATTGAAGGCTTCGCAGGACAACATTCCCAACATTCCGCACATTGGTCAGTGTAGATTACTCGGGCCCGCCACCCCCTGCACCTTATTTACGGCTCTAAGACTGAGTGTGTTTACCTTGGACTGTGAGACTATGTTTACCTTGTGTTTACTTTGGACTGTAACACTGTGTTTACCTTGTGTTTACCTTGGACTGTAAGACAGTGTGTGTTTACCTTGGACTGTGAGACTGTGTTTACCTTGTGTTTACCTGGACTGTAACACTGAGTGTGTTTACCCTGGACTGTAAGACTGAATGTGTTTACCTTGGACTGTAACACTGAGTGTTTACCTTGGACTGTAGGACAGTGTGTTTACCTTGGACTGTAGGACAGTGTGTTTACCTTGGAATGTAGGACTGAGTGTGTTTACCGTGGACTGTAGGACAGTGTGTTTACCTTGGACTGTGAAAGTGTGTTTACCTTGGACTGTAACACTGTGTGTTTACCTTGGACTGTAACACTGTGTGTTTACCTTGGACTGTACGACTGAGTGTGTTTACCTTAGACTGTAACACTGAATGTGTTTACCTTGGACTGTAGGACAGTGTGTTTACCTTGGACTGTAGGACAGTGTGTTTACCTTGGACTGTAGGACTGAGTGTGTTTACCTTGGACTGTAGGACAGTGTGTTTACCTTGGACTGTAACACTGAGTGTGTTTACCCTGGACTGTAAGACAGTGTGTTTACCTTGGACTGTAAGACTGTGTTTACCTTGGACTGTAAGACAGTGTGTTTACCTTGTGTTTACCGTGGACTGTAGGACTGAGTGCGTTTACCGTGAACTGTGAGACTGATTGCCCATTGTTAACGTGGGGGAGGGGGGGGCACGCTGGGTGTACTTTGAGGCCACGCTGGAGGTCACGGGGACAGACCCAGGTGCCCTGGGTTGACTGGCTGGCAGATGCACCGACTGTGCTCCCCACTCTGCCACTTCTCTGCGCTTTGCCCACGCTAAAGTGCGTAATTATACTCACTTAATTATATCCTGATTTGGCAAAAATGTCCAATGTGCTTTACCCCAACAAAACAATAAATGTCTTAATTAGCCTCGCCAAATAATTCGTCGTCTCATTCACAAATCCCTCTCTCCGCGTGCACAAATCATTACCAAGGGTTTCCCAGACAACCCATCGGCCGCACACGCGGCCCCATCTGGGAGTCCCAGGGGTATCGACTAGCGGATCGTGCGGCGGGTGAACCGTGGGTGAACCGTGAGTGAACCGTGGGTGAACCGTGGGTGAACCGTGAGTGAACCGTGGGTGAACCGCGGGTGAACCGCGGGTGAACCGTGGGTGAACCGTGGGTGAACCGTGGGTGAACCGTGGGTGAACCGTGGGTGAACCGCGGGTGAACCGCGGGTGAACCGCGAGTGAACCGTGGGTGAACCGTGGGTGAACCGCGGGTGAACCGCGAGTGAACCGCGGGTGAACCGTGGGTGAACCGTGGGTGAACCGCGGGTGAACCGCGAGTGAACCGTGGGTGAACCGCGGGTGAACCGTGAGTGAACCGTGGGTGAACCGCGGGTGAACCGCGAGTGAACCGCGGGTGAACCGCGAGTGAACCGCGGGTGAACCGCGGGTGAACCGCGAGTGAACCGCGGGTGAACCGTGAGTGAACCGTGAGTGAACCGCGGGTGAACCGTGGGTGAACCGCGGGTGAACCGCGGGTGAACCGTGGGTGAACCGTGAGTGAACCGCGGGTGAACCGTGGGTGAACCGTGAGTGAACCGCGGGTGAACCGTGGGTGAACCGCGAGTGAACCGTGAGTGAACCGTGGGTGAACCGTGAGTGAACCGTGGGTGAACCGTGGGTGAACCGTGGGTGAACCGCGGGTGAACCGCGAGTGAACCGTGGGTGAACCGCGGGTGAACCGTGGGTGAACCGCGAGTGAACTGTGAGTGAACCGTGGGTGAACCGTGGGTGAACCGTGAGTGAACCGCGGGTGAACCGCGGGTGAACCGTGGGTGAACCGTGAGTGAACCGTGGGTGAACCGTGGGTGAACCGTGAGTGAACCGTGGGTGAACCGCGAGTGAACCGCGGGTGAACCGTGAGTGAACCGTGGGTGAACCGTGGGTGAACCGCGGGTGAACCGTGAGTGAACCGCGGGTGAACCGTGGGTGAACCGTGGGTGAACCGTGGGTGAACCGCGGGTGAACCGTGAGTGAACCGTGGGTGAACCGTGGGTGAACCGCGGGTGAACCGTGAGTGAACCGCGGGTGAACCGTGGGTGAACCGTGGGTGAACCGTGGGTGAACCGCGGGTGAACCGTGAGTGAACCGTGAGTGAACCGTGGGTGAACCGCGAGTGAACCGCGGGTGAACCGCGGGTGAACCGTGGGTGAACCGTGAGTGAACCGTGGGTGAACCGTGAGTGAACCGTGCCCGCGTGGACGGGTTACGAGGGCGCGCGCAGCGGGCAGCCCGTGCTGAGCGGCACGCCGCTGGACGGACACTTTTATCTGCAATTGAAAACCCACCCGGGTGGGCAGTGACGGCCTTGCGGCGCACAACGAAGGAGTACGACTGAGAGGAAACCTCTCGCCACCAGACGACTAAACACTTGGCCTGGCAACGTGCCTTCCTTTCCCGCAGAGTCGTCTCTCTCTCTCTGTGTATGTATGTTGAACTTCTTTTGCACCTTACGCAGCTAACGGTGCTAATTGTGGGCGCGGGGGAAGGAGAACAACACTAAACACAAATAGAGTTCTACAGAAATTAGTTTTTAATCTCGACGATGATTTAAAAGTGCACAGCTCCAGTGGCTTCCTAATATCGGAAGGAAGAACGTTCCAGACGGCCGCAGAAGGGCATCTAAAATCGCGCGACGTGGCGACCGTCTTAGTTTGATGGCCAGCCAGGAGCCGCTGCTGCTGCGAGGATGACCGGAGTTTGCACGACGATGGGTTAATGCTCCTTGACGAGAAAAACGGAGAACCGTGGCCCCTACATCGCACGCGTGCATTGTAGGGGCCACGGTTCACAGGTGTTCAGTCTGCAGTCGCAGCTGCCTCTCGCCCATCTCCCTCGTATCCACCGCCGTCTCTCCCCCCGCCCTGTGTTTTGCTTTCAGTGCCGCGAACATGGAGGAGACTCCGGGCAGCGGCTTCCGCTCCGTGGTCGTGCCGCCGCTGCTGCTGCTGGCGCTGCTGCTGCTGCTGCAGGGCGTGCCGGCACGCTGCGCCGCTCCGCGCGAGCGGCCCACGTCCTCGGCGGGCGCGGGAGGCCCAGGGGAGGTCGGCACCATCGCTGCCGCCGCAGCGCCGGAGCTGCCCATGGCCGTGTACGAGCAGAAGTACTACCTGCAGAGACTGTTCACGCGCTACGGCCAGGAGGGGCACCTCTCCCTCGACGCCCTGCAGAAGCTGCTCGTCAACCTGGGCATCGGTGAGATCCGGGTGCTCGAAGATCAGGATGAAGATCACGATCACGATGAAGATCACGATCAGGACCACGATCAGGACGACGATCAGGACAACGATCAGGACCATGACCACGATCAGGATCACGACCACGATCAGGACCATGACCCCGATCACGACCGCGATCGGGACGAGGGCGACGCCGGGCATCGAGCTGGCCCTGACGGCCTCCCCGGGCCGATAGACCGCCGCAGGGACGGCTCGTCGAGCGCCGCCGACGGCGCGGGGGACGTCGGGCCACGGACCGCGGCCCCCACGGGCGGCGCCGGGGATTGGCGAGGGCCCCCGAGAGGCGCGCCGAGAGGCGCCCGCAGCGCCCGGGAGGTGCCCCACGGCCGCGGGGCGTGGGGAGCCGCGGAGAGGCAAAGCCGCACGGCGGTCCAGGACTACCTCGCGTCGCTGGGCTTGTCGGGAGATCACGGCCACATTCACGAAGAGGTGAGATTGAATCCCCTCCTCCCCCGCCACACAAAGGGGTAGACCGCAGTTAGTGTGTCGGCAGGTCGCACGTGGCGGGGTAACGTGTGGGTACTCCCACCTCTTCCAACACATCTGGCCAGCGTGGAAGAGTAGGCCCACCATTTTGTTTTCCCCAGAGGGGCTCTCCAGGGCTCCCCCCACCAGCAGTGGAGCGAGCGAGTTACTACGGGGTTGCGCCTTTACCCTTCGCAGTTTGTAACAAGTGAAAACCCCGGACTATGTCTGGTGGCAAGTGCACGTTTCTCGACTGTCGCGAGTGAGTCACATGAGTCACATGAGTCACACGAGTCAACGAGTCCATGAGTCACACGAGTCAACGAGTCAATGAGTCCGTGAGCCACACGAGTTCATCATGGTGAGCCTCCGCTGCCTGGCTGCTGGGGAACGCAGAACAGAGAGACTTTCTGTGCAGGCTGTGGACATCGCTCCTGCAATCAACAACAAAGGATTCGAGTGAGGGCGAAGCTTTGTTTTCCCCCAAGCTCGCGGCCACCGAGTAGCGAACCAACGCTGGCCAGCGCGCATTCCCACAGAGGCCACGCGTCACGCGGCGGTCGCGATGCTCTCACATGATCTCCGCGTGGTCTCATGAGCTGCTGCGTCCCGAGTTCACGGGTCAGGGTCATGCATTTCAGAGCCCGACTGCTATGGAGACGCTTCATTCCCACAAAGATAACAAAGATCCCTCGTATAGCCTGTTACAGACCGTAGGGGCAAGTGCTGTTGGCGAGTAGCAGCACCTACGAAGGCCGGAACGGCACACGAGGGGGTGAGTGGCCAGCACCACGCCCGCCTTTGTCTCCCCAGTGGCAATGTTTTTACACATCGCAGCAGGCACTCAATTAAGGCTGAATCGACTTAGTGGAGGCCCAGGACCGGTTCAGCTAATCGTCGCCGGTGTTGGCCGTGAGAGGGAATCGAACTCGGGTCGCCGGCTTTGTAGCGCAGCGCGCTCACCGCTACGCTACCGCTTCCCAAATTCCCACACATGCACACACGTGCTTGCGTGTACTACGGCGAGGCACCCTCGATCGGACTCCTGGCACGCGTACCGAACTCACGCCTTTAAGCTTCCAGTTGTTGTTGTTTTCTTCACCGCTCGCCACTCGCGTGCAACTCGTCGTTATCGTTCGGAATTGATCTCTGGGTTGGGCCACGTAACGATCCGGCCAAGACGATGTCTGTCGGGCAGACCCTTCACCGCCCGACACGGGCAGACCGAGCACGCGGTCACGTGGCGTACGAGCGCGCGTGGCTCCGTCGTGGTCGCGATCGGTCAGTTGAGCTTCAGTTCAGCTTATTGTGAAGTTCTCTGTGAGCTAAGAAGAAGCTCTTGAATCGGTGTTTCACCAACAAAAGCATCGCTTCCCCGGCAAACGTAACGTACATAACAGGTCGCGAGAAAAATATAACTAAAGGAAATACATAATGAAGGAAAACAAGCGGCAGCAAATCGCGTTATGTAGAGTACCTTACAAAATTACCTTTTAAACATTTAACTAAAGTGAGGTCGCGCTCGCCCATCGTCGGTCGCGCGCCGTCGAGTCGGAGGGCGGCTCTCACGCCGCCGCCGCTTCCCACCGGTGCGCGCCGTGGTGTCTCGCGTGACCCGGCCTCGCCGCGGCGTCTCACGTGACCCGGCCTCGCCGCGGTGTCTCACGTGACCCGGCCTCGCCGCGGTGTCTCACGTGACCCGGCCTCGCCGTGGTGTCTCACGTGACCCGGCCTCGCCGTGGTGTCTCACGTGACCCGGCCTCGCCGTGGCGTCTCACGTGACCCGGCCTCGCCGCGGTGTCTCGCGTGCGCCTGCAGTGCATGAACATCACCACGCTGCTGTGGAACTACGGCATGTCGTCGGCTTCCGGCGTCAACCAGGACCAGTTCATCTTCCTGTGCCCGGCGATGCTGTACCAGATCGACAGCCGCGTCTGCGTCAAGCAGCAGCACGACCGCCACGGCATGAGCGGCGCCGCCACCGCGCCCGACACCGGTGAGGAGCGGCGCGTTACGGGAAGAGATTTTTATTTGTCGGTGAAGGTGGGGAGCATAGCTGTCGGTGCATAGAACAGTACAACGGCGTGCAGTTTTACTGCGCCCCCCACTCCTGACAAGATAGCGCAGCGGCGCCGGCGCCGGCCTGCAGCGCGTGCGTGTTTATGGCTGGCGGCCGCCCGTCCACACGCCGGCCAGGCCCGGGCCTGCTTGGCTTCCGGGTGCACTCCGCTGGCACGGTGCCGGCGTGAGCATCGCTTACAAGGCAACGCGAGGCTTTCGGGTGCTGCTCGAGCGGAGCGAGGAGTCGACGTGGTCATGGGCGACGGTGCGATGCGAGCATGGTAGAGAGAGCGGTCGGTGGGGAGAGCGGTGGGGAGAGCGGTGGGGAGAGCGGTGGAGAGAGCGGTGGGAAGAGTGGTGGAGAGAGCGGTCGGTGGGGAGAGCGGTGGAGAGAGCGGTGGGGAGAGAGGTGGAGAGAGCGGTGGGAGAGCGGTGGGGAGAGCGGTGGGGAGAGCGGTGGGGAGAGCGGTGGGGAGAGATGTGGAGAGAGCGGTGGGAGAGCGGTGGGGGGAGCGACGCGTGCGCGTTTGACGTCGGCTCGGTGGGGCAGGTGCGGCCGCCTGGGGCTGGGGCTTCTTGGCCATCACGGCCATCTCGCTGCTCTCCCTGCTGGCCGCCGCCTTCATCCCGGCCCTGTCGCCCGACGCGCTGTCCAGCATCCTGGGCTTCCTGGTGGCGCTGGCCGTCGGGACCTTGAGTGGCGACGCTCTGCTGCACCTGCTCCCTCACGTGAGGGCCCCACCCCCCCTACCCCCCCACCCCCCCACCCCCCCTACCCCCCCACCCCCCCACCCCCCCTACCCCCCCCCCCTATCCCTTCCTCCTCTCCACGTACACAGTCCCCACCGACGGTCGCATCGCATCGATGACCTTCCGCAGCCGTGATCGTCGGTAGCTGCGATCAAGGCTTAACCTCGCCCGGGTCACGGCCTAACCCAGGCCAAGTCCCTCCTGCGAGCTCCGAGCACGACCGGCTCGGAGCTCTTAGCTCCGAGTCGCCCGGCCACCATCCTGGCTCGGGGCTTCGAATCCCCGACTGGGGCCCGGCAAAACGCCGGCGTCCCTTCCTCCCCGACGCCGTCGCGCGCCGAGCCGAGCGCCTCCCTGAAGGTGGCGCGTCGCGGTGCTGCGGGGCTGCAGGCGCAGGGCGGAGGACACGGCCACGAGCCGGGAGGGGCCGGCGGGGACTGGACGAGCGGCCTGGTCGAGCGGCTGCTGCCGCTGGGCAAGGGGATGGTGGCGCTCGGAGGCGTCTACCTCATGTTCCTCCTCGAGAGTCTGCTGCCCCTGCTGCGCGTCCGGCGCGAACAGAAGGCAAGCCACCCGGTGCGCGCGTCCGTCGCGCGGGTCCGTCCCGCGGGTCCGTGCCGCTTTTCTGTCCCACCTGCATGCATGTTTGGGGACACGCCTGTTGCAATAATAATAATTTCTTATGTACCCACGCCGAGTCCAGAGGTTATTTTCAGGGGGGCCCTGCATCCCGTCAGCCATATGGCCTCCTGGGAGTGACATTTTTCAGCAGCATTGGTTCAAGTCGGGACCAGTTTCAACATTCGGCGTCTCATCAGCAGTCAGGCTTACCTGAACCAGTGCTGCTGATAGGCGAGGACGCTCTCTCGAGCGGATGTGGGTCCTCGTGGAGAAGCCTCTGTGCCGAGGCGGCGTGTTGCTCAAGTTTGCGCGTTACAAAGTGACACTGTTTATGTTGCCGTGAATAATGGCACCCGAGTTCGCTACTGCCTGGCGGCAGGGAACGTGTCGACAGCCGGGTTGCACGGTGACGCCGCGGTGATGACGTCGTGGTGATGACGTCGTGGTGATGACGTCGTGGTGATGACGCCGCGGTGATGACATCGCGGTGATTACGCCGTGGTGATGACGCCGTGGTGATGACGCCGCCGCTGTGTCCTTGCAGAAGAGAGAGGCCCGGGAGGCGCGCGAGGGAGGAGAGAAGGAGGCGCCGCCCTGCGAGGAGTTGGAGCTCAAAGTTGACGCAGGTGAGGAGAGTTGTGGGAGGCTGCCAATGGTGGTGAGCGGGGAATGATGGCGGTGGCCGGTACCGCGGCTGGCGGGTGATGGCGGGCGGGTGATGGTGGGCGGGTGGTGGGCGGGTGATGGTGGGCGGGTGGTGGGCGGGTGATGGTGGGCAGGTGATGGTGGCGGTGGGCGAGTTTCTTGCTCGGTTCAACAAAGCGTTATGCCCCTCATCCACGTACGACTTTGACGGTGCTGATTGTCGCTGGCGGCCTGACGTTTTGGGCCTTTGGATCTGCAGCCGGGTGTTTTAAATCAGAAATATTCCCTTTCATTTCACGCCGGTGATTGCAAACACACCGGGAAATATGCAACGGGCGCTTGTGCCCGCGTGACGTTTCGGTTCACTGGGCTGTGTGGGGCGCTGGAGGTGAGGGTCAGGGTTACGAATAGGCGTAGTGCGGACCGGATCTGATCGAAAAGAAACCAATTATGAATCGTATTCAGGTCCCGCTGAGCAACGAAAACGTCCCCGCGGCCGATCAGATTACCAACACGCAGAGATGCCCCCCTTGCACGTGGCGACGGCTCTCGGCCGTGCGCAAAGCCACCGCTGCGCAAGAACTGCATTGCGGTCATTCCATTTGTGGCTCCGTCGCTTCCGTCCTGCGCCGGGGGCCGCTCTCGGCCCTGCGCCACGCACGCGGCCACCTCTGATCCCCGGCGCATCTTCCAGCGCACCAGTCGGGCGGCGGCCACGCGGAGGAGGTGTCGCGAGAGGACCGGGACCCGGACCGTCGCCACGAGGGCCGTGCCCACGGCGGGGGCCTCGGGCAGCACCGCGGGCACTCGCACGCGCCCCCCGGCGGGGCGGGACACGTCGGCAACATCGCCTGGATGGTCATCATGGGCGACGGCCTCCACAACTTCACCGACGGCCTCGCAATCGGTGCGTCCGCGCGTGTGTGTGCGTGTGTGTGCACGTGAGTGTTTGAACATGTTATTTGGTGTTTGAATATCTTAACACCTGCTGTTTTATTCCCATAAAGGGTAAAACCTTCATACTTACGTGGGTGTGTGCATCTGCCAGTCAACTCGGTCAACCCACGGCACCTGGGTCTGTCCCGTGACCTCCTGCCAGCGAAGCCTTCGACACTTCACGTGACCTCTAAGCGCACCTAGCCTGGCACTAGCGCCGTGGTGACTTCGCCACGGCTCGATGGCGAATGGCGACCATCGTCGTCGTCCTTGGCGTCGTCCTTGTTGTCGTCATTGTTGTCGTCGTCATCGTCGTCGTTGTCGTCGTTGTTGTCGTTGTCTTCGTTGTTGTCGTCGTCGTTGCTGTGCGAGTGGCTGACGTGGTGCCCGCACCTTGGCAGGGGCGGCGTTCAGCAGCAGCGTCACGGTGGGGCTCAGCACCTCCATCGCCGTGCTCTGCCACGAGGTCCCCCACGAGCTCGGTGAGACAACCCCCCCACCCTCCCACGCCCCCCCACCCTCCCACGCCCCCCCACCCTCCCACGCCCCCCCCACCCTCCCACCCTCTCACGCCCCCCCCACCCTCCCACCCTCCCACACCCCCTCCACTCCCCGCACTCTCCACCCCCCCACCACCCCCCACTCCCCACCTCGTCACCCCAACTCGGGCCCCCCAGCAGGGCTCCTCGGCCCTCTCGCGCCTCTCTCCCTGCAGGCCCCGGCGTCCTTGAGCCGCTCACGGAGCGTGGAACTCCCTCCTCCACCTTCTTTGTCTATGTGCCCCCCCCTCGTCATCACCCCCCCCCCCCCCCAGGTGACTTTGCGGTGCTGCTGCGGGCCGGGATGTCTCTGCGCCGGGCGGTCTGCTACAACCTCCTGTCGGCGCTGCTCGGCTACCTGGGCATGGCCATCGGCGTGGCCGTGGGCCGCCACCTCCACTCCTTCACCCTCTGGATCTTCGCGCTCACCGCGGGCTGCTTCCTCTACGTGGCGCTCGTCAGCATGGTACGGGCTCGGGGGGGGGGGGGGGGGCGGTGGCCGGGCGGCTCGCGGCGGCAGAGCGAGCGGCTCGAGGTCGGAAGGTCGCGAGTTCGCATCCTGGCCGGGGGGAGGGGGGGGGGGTGACTCGGTCGATCGTCGTCCCTCGCGTCACCCTCGCCAGGGAGACTTCTCCGGTCTCTCTCGAGCTCTCGCCTGGTCAGAGAGCACCACGTCATGGAGAGCGGTCGTCCCACGGAGAGACTCGCCTCTGCCATAGCAACGTGGAGTTCCCACCACTGGGTCTGCAGGGCTGTAAAGCAGGAGATGAGCGCCAATGTCTGGACCCTGAGCAGGGATACCCCCCCACCCCGACCCCGGTGCAGCAGGGGTCCTGTCGTGGGACCGGCAGGGCAGCGCGAGCAGGAGCTCCTGCCACCGCCTGGTTGGCGCGGAGCGAGCGGTTGCCGTGGTCGGTCGCCGCCTGCTCCCGCGCCGCCGTGTGGGAAGGGGACGACGGCGTTGTCACTGCTCCTATCGTCGTCGCACCGCCGTCATATCGTCGCCGCACGAATGACGACGATCGAAGGCGGCAGTGAAGTGCCGCCCCCGTAGCCAGACCGGCAGGACTGCGGCTCGTGCCGTGCCGGCCGTCGCGAGGCGGTGGCCGCAGGGCCACGCCGCTGGACCACGCCGCAGGGCCACGCCGCTGGGCCACCACCCCGAGAGAGGCCAAAATGGAAAAACGCCGTTCACTTGATAACAACAACAATAACGGCAACAACAATGACCTATTTACCTGGTCAAACATTCTAGTGCAGCTGGCATGCTTTGGCTGTGGGGGTAGGGAAGCAGAGGAGAGGTCCGTGCGGAAGAGGAGGAGAACACGTATGGCTATCTACGGTTCATCGTGGATACACCACGCGCCCTCGGCGTGGACGTGAGGGAGAGCCGCAAAGGGGGGAGCGGGCCCCGTTCCACGGGGCACCCATCAACTCTGAACCTCCAGCGCCATCTAACGTCTCGCGCGTGCACAACACAGCGCCCTGTTGGTACAAAACACAGCGCCCTGTTGGTACAAAACAGCATTCCTGGCGTGACTTTGGTGGAATCGGCGCGTGTCATCTCCTGTTTTCTTTGCCGGCTGCCCTGCGAATTCTCCGTCGGCTTAGATCCAACGCGGCCCCACGGATCTCTCTCCCCCCCCCCCCACTCCCACCCCCCCCCCCCCACTCCCAGCCCTCCCACCCCCGGCTCTCCCTTTCCCGTGGCCCCCTCCGTGGCAACCCCAGCTGCAACAAATCCCTGCCGCTTCCCCCCCCCCGCTCTCACGGCCACCCCCACCCCGTGAGATTCCACCGCCGTGAGTTGGTGCCGCGAATCCGTCGCGCTGAAATATTTGCCGTGAAACGCGGAGCTTGGGGGGGGGGGCGCGGTGCAGAGATCGCTCACCCCCCCCACCCCCCACTCGGGCGAATGTCTCGCTGCGGAGTTTGTGCGTTCTCTCTCTGTCTCTCTCTCTCTCTGTCTCTCTCTCTGTCTCTCTCTCTGTCTCTCTCTCTGTCTCTCTCTCTCTCTCTGTCTCTCTCTCTGTCTCTCTCTCTGTCTCTCTCTCTCTGTCTCTCTCTGTCTCTCTCTCTCTGTCTCTCTCTCTTTTTTTTTACGATCAGTGGAAACAAGAAGATGCTCGGTGTAGTCGGCACTTTGCTTCGTTCATCATTTCGTAATTTTTTTTTTAAATAATAGCTTTGCTTTATGTAAACCCCCACCTCTCGCTCACTCTCTCGCTCACTCTCTCGCTCACTCTCTCGCTCTCTTTCGTTCTGCACGCAGCCCTTCTCGCAGTCCAACGGCCTCCGACGGGTAGCTCATAACAGCATGCAGAGCTCCCCATCATCTGCCACCAAACACACGGCCTCCTCCAGCGCCCACTGCTCCTTGAAGGCCGGCACGGCGTGGGTCAGCCGCGCATGGCGGAACTCCAACCCACACAGCCTGGCTCCGACCAGAGCGCGGAAGATGCCCAGGCTGCTGGCCGGTCGTTTCCCCTCCAGGACCACCTTCCTCACCCTGTAAATGGCGAGCTTGGCGTAGCCGACGAGCACGTTAACCAGCCCCTGAAGATGTTGGGGTCCGTCGCCCTTCGGGTATCTAAAGATGAGGACCGTCGGGGATAAGTGGAGGCTGAACCTTAGGAGGATGTTTTTGAGGACCTTGAACAACAAGTACAGGCTCTTGCACTCCACGTATTGGTGCGCCACCGTCTCCACTTTACCGCAGAACCGGCACTCCGGGGACGTGTCGGTGAAACGCGCCAGGGAGGCGTTGGTGGTGACGGTGCCGTGGGCGATGCTCCAGCTGAGGTCACCGATGCGGTTGTACGTCGGGCTTGAGTAGAGTTGCCTCCAGCGAGGCCTCTCCGGAGAGATGCAGGGCATGGTCCTTGTGGTTCCTCAGGGTTTCCTGTTGGTGAAACCGGACCATGTAGGAGTAGAGCACCTTTCTCTTTACATTTGCGAAGGCCTCCTCCGGTAGGTTTTCCAGCCGGCACAGGTTGTGATCCGCCTTCGCTTGTCGGCATTGGCGATGCAGTGGCACGACGGAGAGCTCCGGTGGAGGGGGACCGAGAGGGGCCTCGTCATCCCCAACGCCGATGGGGGGTGTTCTCCCCACTGCCGCTGAGAAGGCTCCCTTGGCTTCGGCCAGGATCCGGGCAGCCACCCGGAGCGACTGCAGCCCCGTCTTTGCGGCCATGTCTGCTGGTCCGAGCCACCGGCCCCGTGTTCCACGCTCCACCAGATCTCCCATCCTGGTGAGCCGCGCATTGCTGAGGCGCCTCTCCATGCCGGGGATGGCGGTGGTGGATGGCAGCTTTGTCTGCGGGTTCCTGAGGATCGGTTCGAAGACCAGATCTTCAGCCGATTGCGGCTGGTTCAGCCTCCTGACAGCGAGGGAGCTCCATGTCTTGCAGGACGCTCCTGTAGAAAGGTGGCAGCTGTCCCAGTGGGAGGCCCTGCAGGTCCAAGTAGAATAGTTGTTTGGAGCACTGCAGACCCCCCAGCTGTTTCAGGAGGAAGGAGGCCGTGATGCTCCAGGCCGGTGCAGGGGCGGCAATGCAGGAACTTTTGTGCGGCCTGCAGTCGGAAGGTGGCCAGCTGACTCCGCACGCACACCAGCCCTTGACCGCCCTCGTCCAGTGGCAGGGCCAGGACCCCTGCCGTGACCCGGTGTCCTCCGCCCGACCAGAAGAAGTCGAGGACTCGCTTCTGAAGCGCGTTGACGAGGCTCATGGGGGGGTGCAGGGAGAAGAGTCGGTGCCACAGCATGGACGTCTGTCTCTCTCTGTCTCTCTCCGCCCCCTGTTCCGCGTGGGGGGTTCTCTCCGGGTTCTCCGCTTGTCTCCCACCCGCGGCTAGAAACGCGCAATTTTCGGCGGCGGTGATGGCCACACATCTCAGCCGCAGCGAGACCCGCCTCGAACACAGCCTGGGGGTGTGGGCCTTCCCACTCACCTCGCCCTTCTCACGCTCACCCCGCCCTTCTCACCTCGCTGGGGGTTACCCCCGGCTCGTGGCGGGTGACGGTGGCAGGGAGGTGCGCACCGCGAGTTGCCCAACCCTTGCCAGCCTCCTCCCGCCTTCCTGCCACTTTCACCCTAAGCCCCCCCCCCCCTACTGAGTCCCCCCCCCTACTGAGTCCCCCCCCTACTGAATTCCCCCCACTGAGCCCCCCCCACTGAGCCCCCCCCACTGAGCCCCCCCCACTGAGCCCCCCCCCACTGAGCCCCCCCACTGAGCCCCCCCTTCAAGCAGAGCCGCCCCCGCGGCTCACCCGGGGGTCAGGCGGGGTGCAGGGGGAGGGGTGGTGGGGGAGGGGAGGGGTTAGCGGGGGCTGCTTGGGGAGTTGGGGAGGAGGGGGGTTGGTGAGGGAGGGGTGTGGGGGGGTGTTGGTGAGGGAGGGGTGAGGGGTTGGTGAGGGGGGGGTGAGGGGGGGGTGAGGGGGTTGGTGAGGGAGGGGTGAGGGGGGTTGGTGAGGGAGGGGTGAGGGGGGTTGGTGAGGGAGGGGTGTGGGGGTTTGTGAGGGAGGGAGGGGTGTGAGGGGTTGGTGAGGGGGGGTGAGGGGGGTTGGTGAGGGAGGGGTGTGAGGGGTTGGTGAGGGGGGGGTGAGGGGGGTTGGTGAGGGAGGGGTGTGGGGGGTTGGTGAGGGGGGGGGTGTGGGGGGTTGGTGAGGGGGGGTTGCGATGTCCGCGTTGTTTGTTTTGCTTGAGGTGGTCCCCGCCGGGACACTAAGAATGGGAAACTCGCCGCGTGTTCTCCCGAGTTGTGTTTACAGGTGGCGACAGTTTCGCGAGCGGAAAGGTGATGTCATTGCGCAAGATCAGCCGCGTGCTCGGGAGATTGTTTTATTATTATTATTGCAACGAACTTGGAACCCCAGTCGGAAAATGTAACTCCACGTGAGAACAATGATTGAACAATGATTGTACAATTATTGTACAATGATAGCGCAGCGCGCTAAACACTACACTACCGCTCCCCACACTCATACACGCACACACAGACACATACACGCTCTCGCACACACACACACTCATACACACGCTCTCTCACACACGCGCACACACACACACATGCTCTCACACACACACTCACATGCTCTCATACGCACGCACGGATGTGCACGCACACACATTCTCACACGGGCACGCACACACATTCTCGCACACACGCACACACATTCTCGCACACACGCACACACATTCTCGCACACACGCACACATATTCTCGCACACATGCAAACACGCACATGCAACAACATCAACCGCCATTCGCCACTAAGTAGCGGTGTAGTCACCACGACGCTTGTGCAGGCTATGTGCACCTTGAGGCCACGTGAAGTGTCGAACGCCCGCTGGCAGGAGGTCACGGGGCAGACCCAGATGCCACAGGTCGACTGAGATAACTGGCTGATGCACCACCTGTGCCCCCTACTGTGCCAACTTGCTGTGCTTTAGCCACCCGGCGCTCCGCTCTTTGTTGTGAGCGTCGCTCCTCCACCCTCCGTTGTTGTTGGAGGGCGACTACCTCCAACTGCCCAGTAGCGTCCTTCACGAGCCTCCTCCACAGAGGCCGATCTTGACACCGCTGGTACCAGTCATCGGCAAGTCCACTCCACATCCTCCTGTACCACATCACTCCATCTCTCCTCTAGCCCGTGCCGCGCCTGGTTAAACCCAGGATGGATCGTAGGCAGGCCAGCCTAAATGTTTCTAACCAGCGAAGATCTTCCATTAGGGGGGTCCACGTTTCGCAAGCGTAGAGAAGGGAGGGAATGACCGTGGCCGAGAAGACCTGAAGCTTCGTGCAGAGTGATAGACCAGGTAGCTTCCACACAGCGTTACGCAACCAATGAAAATATAATGCCGCTCGACTGATTCGGAGTGAGACTTCTGCTGTTAAACCGGAGCCGGTCATGAGCACACTGCCCAGGTATGGGAAACTCTGCACTCTCTCTACAACTGCCCTATCAGCAATTGGGAGTTGTGGGGGTGGAGTGTCCGATAGTACAAATTACCGAGGCAGGTGCTTAGTTTTGGTGGGGCTGATGGTAAGGCCCCACCTCTTGGTGGCAAGCTCCAGGTTCAGCAGCAGCGCTTCCAACTCATCCTCTGAGTGAGCAGCAATTACCAGATCATCGGCATACATAACGTGGTTGAGCAGCAGGGAGCCATCCCTTGACCACACCCGGGCATCGATCAGCCTCCCATTGTATCTGTACCAAATGGAAATTCCTCTGTTACAGCTATTAAAGGTTTCACGAACTACGTGGTCAAAATAGATGTTAAATAATGTGGGAGGCAGAGGACATCCCTGTCACACCCCAAGGTGTACAGGGAATGGCTCTGACTCCCGGCTATGTAGTTTTACCCAGGCCCGCTCACCATCATGAAGGTCCTTAATGATCGTGAGCAGAGGGTCAGGGACTCCGAAAGCATGAACAACCCAGAGCCCAGGCCTACTGATGGTATCATAGGCCTTGACCAGGTCAATAAAGCAGAGATGTAGGTCTTGTTGGAATTCCCTACACCTCTGCTGTAGCAGACGGACAGAAAATATGGCATCTGTGCAGGACCACCCTTTCCTGAAACCGCATTGGGGCTCTGCAAGACTCTCCTCAGCGTGGCTAGCAAGGCGATGTTGAATAATCCTTGCCAGGAGCTTTCCCGGTACACTGAGGAGTAAGAAGCCCCTGTAGTTGTTACGGGGCATCCTTCCAATCCTGTGGAACCTGTCCAGTGGTCCAGACTGTTGTTATGATGTCATCTAGGGCAGTCTGTGCACAAACGCCACCCTCCCTCAGCATTTCGCTTGGGAGATCATCTCTGCCCGGTGCCTTTCCTGGTCTCAGACTCTGGATCGCCTTCAGTATTTCCTCAACAGATGGCACCTCAGCCAGCCACTCACAGATGGTGACTTCCTCCTCCAATATTTGAGGCAACGCAGCCTCAGCAGGGTCATCCCCACTTTGTCCCATTTTGTTTTGCTGGCTGAGGTTTTTCCCCTCCCTCAGGACCTCACAGAAATGCTCAGCAAATCTGCAAACCTATTCCTGGAGGTCGGAGATTGGATAACCGTTCTTTCCCCTCATGATGGTAATAAGTGTGGCGCTGCAGGTTACTTTTTTGATGGAATTAAAGAGCGATTTGTGATCACGGGCCACTCAGGCAGACTCCATGTCCTCAGCAACCCGCGACTACCACCCATTCTTGAAGCGCCTCATGGCCCTCCGAACCTCCGAGCGAAGGCTGCGGTAAGCATCCTCATTCTCCGACGTGGGATGCTGTAGCCGATGAGAGTGGGCCTGTCGCTTTTTCTCAGCCAGCTTGACCACCTCCTCTGTCAGCCAGGGTCTCTGGGGAGGGCTGCACCGTGTGCCCACAGCTCCCGCTCACCCTGCGTGCCACTCAGTGGTTCCCCCATCTGCCTAGGGAGTCGTCCGCTCCAATCCAGGTCTTCGGATCTCGCGACGGTGTACAATGAATGCGCATTGCTTGAACTCAGCTGTAATGAGCCCTAGGGGCTGGATCTCTGCCCCTTTTTTGTCTTTTTCCAGCAAGCGCCACGTGCTTCCATCACATTCGTGTGTGTGTATATGACTAGGCCTTGACAAACTCTGTGATGAAGTAGAAGATTGTTTTTGTTGCTTTCAAGTTGTGCTCCCTAGTTTTGATCAACTGCAGGATGTTCCCAGCTGCTGCTGCATCTTCTGTGTCGCGTCGTCGTCATTGGAGATTCCACGCCGAGACGCCGGCGGTGACTCGCGCGTCGGATGGAGCTCCGCCTGCCACTCTCCTCGTGTCAGAGCGATCGCCTCCAGGATGCGGCGCCGCGTGCCGGGGGATGACCCCGGAACCCCGAGTGGGCGGTGCCACCTGGGGACCTTGTAGTTCCCACCAGCGCCACAGCTGAGGCCCCGCTGTGGGACAGGGGGGGGGGGTCAGTTATTGGTGAGATCGCAAAGAGGGTCTACGGCTCGTGACTGAGGCGCGATGGCCCCGGCAAAGGCCGACTCTGATGCTGATGCTGAGAGACCGAATGTCGACACCGGTTCGTCGTTTGCATTGCACCGACGCGCTCCCAGAATGCCGTGTGGAAGGGGGGGGGGCGTCTTGCCTGCTCGTGAATGTTGTGGCTTTTATTCTGCACGACGACGCCCACGGCAGATCCTCGCTGCAGCAAGAGGCCATCCGCCCTGACGCTGCCGCCGCTGCTACTACCCCTCCCTCTCGTTTCCGCCGCCCGCAGCTCCCGGAGCTTCGCGCCGACGGCCGCGGGCCCAGGGGCCTCGGCCACTTCCTGCTGCAGAACGCCGGCCTCCTCCTCGGCTTCGCCATCATGTTCCTCATCGCCCTCTTCGAGGACAGCATCGCGCTCAGCCTCAGCTTCTAGGCCGCAGCGGCAGCAGGGGCCGGGGAGCGCCCTCGCTTGCACACCGGCAACGCACGTTGTGGTTGTTGTGGTTGTTGTCGTGGTTGTTGTTGTTGTCGTGGTTGTTGTTGTCGGGTGTTACACATCCCATCGACCGCACCCCGGCGGTATCCGAATGGCCGAGCCCCGTTCGAGCCTCGGACGCAGCAGGCGTCACGTGACGCCTGCTGGGACGCAGAAGGCGTCACGTGACGCCTGCTGGGACGCGGGCGACCGGCGCGTGACTCCGTCGGCGTCCCAGCGGCACGAGGCGCCGCCGCCTCGCGGCGAGATCGCGGTGGACGCTCAAGAGCAACTTGAGGGAGCGATTGGTGCGGCACGCGGCGAGAGAGTGGGGCTCGCTCGCTCGCTCGCGGGGAGCGGCGCGCCACATGCTGCCATCTCCGTTGCCCTTCATCTCACCGGCTGAGCCCAACCACCTGACCTTTGAACCCTGTGTTCCCTTGGAGGTCTGTGAGCACGTGGAAGTGTGTGTGAGTGCGCGTCCACGTGAGTTTGTGTGAGTGCGCGTCCACGTGAGTTTGTGTGAGTGCGCGTGTGTGAGTGCGTGAGTGCGTGAGCACGTGCACGAGCGTGTGAGCGCGCATGTGAATATGTGCCCACGTGGAGAGCGGTGGCGCAGTGGTTAGCGCGCTGCGCTACGATCCCAGCGACTCGAGTACGATTCTCGCTCACGACCGACAACGGTGGTGAAAATTTTGTCCGTCCTGGGCCTCCCCTAGGTCGACTCAACTTTAAACGCAAACCCGGTGCGGTGTGTAAACATCAGCACTGGTGCTGGCCTCACCACCTCCTTGCGTGCCGATCCGGCTTTAATAGGTGCTCGCTAACAGCATTTGCCCCAGCAGTCTGTGAAAGGCTGTACGGGCATCTCTGTCTCTCTCTTGTGTGTGCACCTGACAGTATTTGGGGTGCTGCAGTTGCTGTCAAATCGCGGCAACCCGTTCCTTTTAGCCTCGCCGAGAAAATTGTTTACGTAACATTTTATGCAGCTGAGCAGTATCATTATATTGAAGATAATGGTGAAGTATCACGTTTAATTTAGCTTAATGATGCCATCACTTGTTAAGTATTAATGTTAACATTGCTATTCCAAGATTGTGGTCGTGAGATTTACACACAAACAGAAAAGCCATGGTGTTTTTATATTGTCCTTAACTCAATTCAAAATAATTCAATTCACAATGTTTACCGTCTATGTTACGCTGATTATAATGAGTCATTGCTGTCTTTTAGATGCAGCGGATATGTACCTGGGCCTGATGCCTAAGACAATTAAAACTCAATGACGCGTCACGTATCCACGCGCTGTGTGTGCTGCTCCACCATCGTGTAACGAACACACCGTGATACTAGAACCCAGCCTGTGATGTTAGAACCCAGCCTGTGACACTAGAACCCAGCCTGTGACACTAGAACCCAGCCTGTGATACTAGAACCCAGCCTGTGATACTAGAACCCAGCCTGTGACACTAGAACCCAGCCTGTGACACTAGAACCCAGCCTGTGATACTAGAACCCAGCCTGTGATACTAGAACCCAGCCTGTGATACTAGAACCCAGCCTGTGATACTAGAACCCAGCCTGTGATACTAGAACCCAGCCTGTGTTACTAGAACCCAGCCTGTGACACTAGAACCCAGCCTGTGACACTAGAACCCAGCCTGTGACACTAGAACCCAGCCTGTGACACTAGAACCCAGCCTGTGATACTAGAACCCAGCCTGTGACACTAGAACCCAGCCTGTGACACTAGAACCCAGCCCGTGACACTAGAACCCAGCCCGTGATACTAGAACCCAGCCTGTGATACCAGAACCCAGCCTGTGATGTTAGAACCCAGCCTGTGATACTAGAACCCAGCCTGTGACACTAGAACCCAGCCTGTGATACTAGAACCCAGCCTGTGATGTTAGAACCCAGCCTGTGACACTAGAACCCAGCCTGTGATACTAGAACCCAGCCTGTGATGTTAGAACCCAGCCTGTGATACTAGAACCCAGCCTGTGACACTAGAACCCAGCCTGTGATACTAGAACCCTGCCTGTGATGTTAGAACCCAGCCTGTGACACTAGAACCCAGCCTGTGATACCAGAACCAGCCTGTGATGTTAGAACCCAGCCTGTGATACTAGAACCCAGCCTGTGACACTAGAACCCAGCCTGTGGATACTAGAAACCCAGCCTGTGATGTTAGAACCCAGCCTGTGACACTAGAACCCAGCCTGTGATTACTAGAACCCAGCCTGTGATGTTAGAACCCAGCCTGTGATACTAGAACCCAGCCTGTGACACTAGAACCCAGCCTGTGATACTAGAACCCAGCCTGTGATGTTAGAACCCAGCCTGTGACACTAGAACCCAGCCTGTGATACTAGAACCCAGCCTGTGATGTTAGAACCCAGCCTGTGATACTAGAACCCAGCCTGTGATACTAGAACCCAGCCTGTGATGTTAGAACCCAGCCTGTGACACTAGAACCCAGCCTGTGATACTAGAACCCAGCTGTGATGTTAGAACCCAGCCTGTGATACTAGAACCCAGCCTGTGACACTAGAACCCAGCCTGTGATACTAGAACCCGCCTGTGATTTTAGAACCCAGCCTGTGATACTAGAACCCAGCCTGTGATGTTAGAACCCAGCCTGTGACACTAGAACCCAGCCTGTGATACTAGAACCCAGCCTGTGATGTTAGAACCCAGCCTGTGATACTAGAACCCAGCCTGTGACACTAGAACCCAGCCTGTGATACTAGAACCCAGCCTGTGATGTTAGAACCCAGCCTGTGATACTAGAACCCAGCCTGTGTTACTAGAACCCAGCCTGTGATACTAGAACCCAGCCTGTGATACTAGAACCCAGCCTGTGACACTAGAACCCAGCCTGTGATACTAGAACCCAGCCTGTGATACTAGAACCCAGCCTGTGACACTAGAACCCAGCCTGTGACACTAGAACCCAGCCTGTGATACTAAAACCCAGCCTGTGATACTAAAACCCAGCCTGTGATACTAGAACCCAGCCTGTGATACTAGAACCCAGCCTGTGACACTAGAACCCAGTCTGTGATACTAAAACCCAGCCTGTGATATTAGAACCCAGCCTGTGATACTAGAA